CTCGGTGCCGGTGCCGGTGCCGGCCGGGGGCAGGCGGGGGCGCGGCAGTGCTCGGGCGCTGCGCGGCGGCGGCAGTGGGCGCCTCCGGCGGGGCGCGACAGCGGGATCGTGGCTTACAACAGCCGGAGCCAGAGCAAGGAGCCGCTCGTGCTGGCCACGGAAGGAGTGGCGACCTGGTAGCGCCTTGCTGCGCGGCGGGCGGGCGTGGGGGTGGCGGCCGTGACAGGAGCGGCTTGTGTCCGCAAACAGCTCCGGCGTCCCCTTCTGGGCTTCAGTACACGACAGACATGGAGCTAGTGGAAAAGGTCTAGCGAAGGGTCACAAAGGTGATTAAGGGACCGGAGCGTTTCTCTTGAGAAGAGAGACTGCAGGAGCTGGGCCTGTTAGTCTAGAGGAGCGAAGACTGAGAGGGGATCTCATCAATACATATAAATATATCGAAGATGGGTGTCAAGAAAAGATGCCAGGCTCTTTTCAGCAGTGCCTAGCGACAGGAGCAGTGGCCTTAAACTAAAATACAAGAAGTTTCACCTCAACATGGGAAAGAACTTCTTTATGTTGACGGTGGCAGAGCACTGGGACAGGCTGTCCAGGTGGCTCATGGAGACTCCCTTTCTGGAAACGTTCAAAACCTACCTGGACACATTCCTGTGTCACTTGCTGTGGTTACCCTGCCTTTACAGGGGTTTGGACTGGGTGATCTTCCACCTCTAGCAATTCTGTGATTCTGTTTGCCTCTCCTCTCTGCAGGTACAGCTGCGGGCCGACAGTGTATGACCATGCACACCTCGGGCACGCCTGGTGAGTCGTGGATTGCAGCATGGGGGCATCCAGGCAGATACACGGTGCTGGACGTCCCCATGCTGCAGTGTGTGTCCTGCTGACAGAGCTGTGACTGGTGACACAAGGCCCAGCCCTTCGCCTCCTGTGCTGTGCAAAGGGCAAAAGTCTGCTTGTTACGTATTTTTTCCTCTTGGGCTGGGGTAGTCCGTAACGGGGCTGTTGGTTCTGCTGCCTGGCTGAGGCAGAGACAGTGCGTGTCTGTGTCTTGGGAAGAAGCATTAGGAATACGTGCAGTTTGTTTGGGTAGGGTGAGTTGTTTCAAATCATATCAGCATAGTGTGAGCTCTCATGTGGAGGAGTCCTGATCCTGGAACAGAGCCTCTCAGCTGTGAGAAAAGATAGTTTCACCTCAGGTTAGGTCAGGCACTGTGTTGGCACCAAGGAAAAGCCGTGCAAGGTTGGCTAATAGAAAGGTACTTTCAAGGTTCGTACACATCGAACACATCGCATCTTAAATCTCAGAAAGTCCAGGTAGCTTAAAGACCGTTCTGCAGAGTAACACTGCAGTGGCTTACTATGTTTAAAAATAAAACACCAATCCAGAACAGCACAGGTTTTTCTCTGTAGTTCATTAGGACTGTTAGAACAATAAGCTAATTTCATTATAAGTAACTTTGAAAAAGTACTTTAAACACACCAGAAGAGGTTGCTGGCACCTGTTTCAAAACAACACACCTGATGAGTAGACATGCAGTGTGTCTGCTATTCCTGTGAAACTGAGGGGAGTTGCAGAGGCTCAAACTGCTCTTAAGGTTCTGTCTCTGCATTCTTAAAGAGCAAGTTGTGTAGGGCTCTTTGGTAGAGCGGGGGTTTATCAGATAATTGCCATCTGTATGAAGATCAGATATTGTGCATTTCAGTAACTGAATAATTCCTATTCAATGTAAGGGTTTTCACAGCTTCTCATCCTGTCTCAACTTCATTCTGAAACTTGTGTTGAATCTTGCTCAAGTTGAACTGAGCCAACACAGTAACTGCATAACTGCTGCTTTGTTCTGTAAAAAGGAAGACTTAAAATACCAGTTATGTGAAAGTACTGTTGTCAGTGCTAATGTTAATGCTACTGTACTGTTAATGCTAAGCACCTCTTTAAGCACATGTATGTTGTGGTGTCTTTTTCCTCGCTGCTTTTGTCAAGTCTCAGCAGAAAACTGACCTAGCTTTTTACTGGTGACCTAAAAATCAAGAACATGATATCTTGGACTTGTTGTTTGTACTAAGTATTTTCAGGGGAACTTTTTTTATTTGAAAGTCATAGTAATTTGTGTATTTAAATCGACAGCTCTTTGTGATACAGGCTCCATTACAGTTTACATTGAAATAATTACGATTTAAAATCTTAAAAAATCTTAAAACTTGAAAGTGACTGTGTAAAAAAGATGGTTATAAGTTTCTTGTCTTTATCCCTCATTTGAGGTTCTCTTAGTGTGGTAGGCCCTGATGTGGTATAATAGGGAAGGGAATTGCAGAGGTGCTTCTGTCCTAAGGGATATATTTGATCTAGACCACAGTGTTTTATAGACCCTTTGGTCTTGCAGCTCTCAGTGGCTTTTAAATGTGTTTTTTTCAGTGGTTCTCTTGCCCTCAGACTTTCTTGATTAAAAGAGGGAGTAGAAAGGCCTTGCTTACATTTGCCTGTTTCTTACCCATCTTTTCTTACCCATGTAAACTAGCAATTTCAAGCTTTCCCACTGTGGAGGTTTGCTGTATATCTGTGTCACCCGGGCCTGACCTCTTCATGTGCTAATTTAAGAAAGAATGGTTAGTGCTGAATATTGCCTTTGGTGTATCATGCAGATACACCAGGTATAATTCTCTCTTTAGCACCTCTTTAAGCACCTTCACTTGTTGTTCCTGCTGCATGACAAGGTGTCTGCACTGAAGACCTTTAGCTCTCTTTTCTCATCAGTTAAACCCTCTAGCATGGGAGGAGTTGGCTGTTCCTTTCCAGTATCTCTGGTCTTACACATGTCAGTGTTGACTTCGTGTTGCTCAGCTGATTTGTTCAGGATAGTGGAGCACTCTTGGTTCTATTTATTTATTTATTTTTAAAAATTGTATTTTTTTTCCCCCAGTAGCTAGGTCCAGCCATAGAACAGCTGAAATGTATGCTGCTGTTGGGGGCCAGGAGAGGCACCGGGAAATAGCATAAAGTCAAATGGAGTGGTGGCTGTTGCTACTCTGCTGCTCGTGTTAAATACCATCATTTTGTTGTACTCCTGCCACATGTTCTCTTCTCACTAGAATTCCCTTTTTTCCCCTCTGTCTTACACTCGACTTGTGTCAAATACAACAAATGGAGCAGGTAATAAAGCAGAAATGGATAATGGAAATGATTTTGAGATCCTTGAGGAGAATTTGGAAATAATGGCATTATTTTTCTCCTGTCCTCTTTCCATTCCACAAGGAGTTCTTATTTCTGTAAATAATTTAACATTCTTTAGTATGTTGTGCTTCCAGTCTTAAAACCAGATGCTCTGTCTGCCTCCATATGACATCCAACACCCATTCTATATAGAGAAAAAAGTAAGACAGGCAAATAATACTATTTTTTTTTTCCCAGTTCTGGGTCTGACCTTGGTTGTACTGGTTTGACCTGCAGCCTTGTTGGCATCCAGGTTCCTGGCTGAATGCTTTGAAGTAAGAGTAAAACCAGCCACAAGAGATTTCTCTTGCATGTGCTCTGCCACCCCCTGATCTTCACTGTCTGTTTTGGCTGGTTTTTTTTTTTTTATCAGTCCTGAAGTGTTAAAGACCCTGTGGTATCAGGAATTCTGCTCTTGTTCTTGCAGAGTTTCTTCCATTAATTCAGTTGGAAGATGAGAGGAGAGGGAACAGTGTGAAATTTGTGCCTGCTCTGGGAACAGTGACTGCAGGGCTGTTAAATCTAATATCAAGCTTTTGATGCTGGCCTTGTTCCTCTGAACAGGATCCAAAGGCCAATTTAATATTCTTATGGAATCGTGTCACCACATTAGATGAGCCTTACTCCCAGTGAGCTGCTATTCATTAAAAACTGTCTCCCTGGCAGCAAGGCTTTCAAAAGTCTTTTTTCAGCATGGACACAGCACAAACAACAACTAAAAGTATTTTTCTTCATCAAGGTATTATGCATCTGTAAATCAGTATCTTAGTGCTACCTGGCACCTGCTGGGAAGGGTGCAAATCCATTTCTGTAGTTGCTTACACTTCTTTGTTCTGACGGCCATGGGAGTTGCAGTTTGTGTGATGCTGTGGGTGAAATGGGAACCTGTAGGTCTGTGAACCTCCTTGCTGGCTTTAGAGAAAACAGAGCCCAGAAAGGCTGAGCATCATCTTGCAGGGCAGACACAGAGATTATAGTCACCTTCTAGTTTCCCACCTAGTAATTCAGTTTAACTCAAAGTGTGTTTTGAGAATTACAAATGGAGAGTCTCTGAGCAGAAGGAGCTGCAGCAGCCCTATACAGCTTGTATATCCATCAGTCTATCAGCATTAAATACTCTGCTTTGTGGCACAAGCCCTGAATAATTTTCAGAATAGCTTCTATTCTCAAGTGTAAATAAAACAGAATAAGCTATAGAGCATCTACTCTTTGCTCTCAGAAAAGATCCGTGATGGTGTGTGATTGAAATACTTTATTGGTGGCTGGTATCTGTCGTTACTCAACCCTAAGAAAAATTAATTTGAATCCTGCTTTATTTCTCCGTGTTCTTCTGCTGCATGACTTTTGAAAACCTGTTAGGATATACTAAGCCCAAGGGATGTATTTCAAGAACATCTGATCTCTGTGTCTTGTTTTGTCGTGTTGGCTTTGAAAGAGTCTCCAGGCTCATGTAGCTTGTGATACCCTTTGAATAAAGAGATGCAACAAAAGAAAACTCAGAAAATCTGATGTAATGTGTCACTAATGCCAGAAGAGGGTAGGCCAGTTCAAGAGAAATTTGCTTGACTTTTGTGCAGGTAGCAACTGGTTTTGGAAAAACACCTTATGCACTGAAGATCTTTTCATTCTAGGTGTTGAGATTAATTAGATTGTCCGTGTGGCTGTTGGTTATTTTTGTTTAAGTTTATTCTTGTGTTCAAAAGCTCATGTTTCTTTCTCTTCCAGCTCCTATGTTAGGTTTGATATAATTCGAAGAATAATGACAAGGTTTTTTGGAATTGAAGTTATCATGGTGATGGGGATCACAGACATAGATGACAAGATAATAAAAAGAGCCAATGAGGTAGGTGTTTGCTGCAGTCTTTGACTAACCTTTTGGTATTTTCTAAGCTTCTTATATAGGAAAATTAACCTGGCTTTGGGGTTCTTTTATTGAGTTATGTTTGTTTTAATTAGTAGGAAATAAATGTTGAGATTTTTGGTCCCCTAGTGTGGCTGTAATGGGTCTGGGAGTGAGGAGGGCTGAGTGTCAAGAACTCTGGTAAATGGGTACAGAGCTGTGTGGTGGGGGAGGCAGAGAGGAGCTACCTTACAGCACTCACAGCTGGGATTCTGCCCTCTCCCCCTGCCTGAGAAGCTAGAAGGGAACAAAAGCCCTGGGTGAATCCTCAGCACAGTGGAATTATCCCAAAACTTAGCAGCCAGAAGGGTTCTGAGTGAGTTCTGGAGAAGTGTTGTGTGCAGTGATCATGAAAGGCGGTACCTACAGCACTGCCACATGGGCAGGAGGGCAGTTCCTGGAAGGTGCCGAGCACCATCTAGCTGCAATGTCAGCACCTTGGAAAGCTTCACCAGGCCTGGCTGAATTTGTCACCCACAGGGGTAAGTCTTGATAAGACAGGGTCTGTAAGTGGTTCTCAGCTGAATTTTAATCTGACCCTTTTACCAGATTAGCTTGGTGAATGATTATTTAAATTCTTTTTTTAATGGTTTTTAAAACACTTTTTGAACCCTGAAGCGCTAAGAGTGTATTCTGTATTTTTATTCTGCATTTTGAGTCCTTTTTTTAATTTGATTTTGGAATCTGTAATTCATGTGTTTGGGATCATAAGTGAATGTATTTGATTGAATTGCAGTTGCAAGCTTTAAGATAGTTTCTTCGAGCCAGAGAATTTGACAGCTGTTCTTTTTACTTACCTTTAAGTAAACAGTTACTTTCTCAGTTAAATATAGGCCCCTGCATTCAAATGAATACTAGCACACCACTCATGTAGAAATATGTCTGTTCAATTGGTCCATTTACTTGCTGTTTTCTAAGGCAGTAAACAATTCCAAAACAAGCAACCCCCCCCTCCAAAATTCAGCATTTTAAAACCATGTTTGCATTTTAAAATTTTTCCTCATTAACAGAACATCTTAGAGATTTTGTGTTTGAGGAGGGGGGAATGACATGTTCTTGAAAGATGTGTTGCTTTACTACATTATTTGGTTCTATGAAGTCATCTTTTCTTGGCTTTTTTTTGGTAACCTTTTCAAGTGTTTGCTCAGCCTTTTTTTTGGATGGCCAGGGCCTTTACCTCAGTAGCCTGCTTTTGTTGTTGGGACCTGTGCATCTGAAGCATTACAGTGGTAGAATCAACATGTCTAAGCTTGTTCATCATCCTCTGGTGGGGTTCATCTGGGGGAAACCTCAAAATTGGGTACTAGTTTATGATGAACTGCATGCCGTCAGTGTCCTTTGAGAGAGAGATGAGTCTCTGTGTGTTGAACATCTGTCTGGATGGGAGGAAACTCCCCGTCTTCTTCCTGGAGGCACCTTTGTTTCTTTCTTGATCAAAGAAGCAGCTGAGCTGTCTAGGAAGAAGAATCCAGTCACTGGTCTGTAGGCAGAGGCATGTCTTTGTTTTTTGGTGCTGAGCATTGTCCTCATTTCCTTGCTGTATGAACATCTGTACTGTCTTCACCAGAACCCCTGCTTTATCCAGGAGTTTGTACAAACAGTGGTAGCCACCTGCTCTCTCAAATCGGAGCCCATAGAGATGCTCCAGTAATGAATTGGAAGTGATGAAATGGGATTGATATTGTTAATGATTCAGTTTCCTGCAAGATGGAGAGACTGACAGTATGTTGTCTTCTCCCCAGTAGTTTGTTCTCAGAGAAGATGTAAAAGCATGCATTTGAAACACTTTGATACCATGCTGTTGCTTACTAGGGCAGGTTTTGCTGTCATGCATCTTTCAATCCCTGGCCTCTTCTGGGTATTTGAGAACAAGTACCTTACCATGGGCAAGTACCTTTCCTTTTGGATTGCATTTTCTCATCCCCTCTGCAAGAGGAACCTGTTCATGTCCCATGAATGAGAAATGGAGAGAAGGTGCTTGAGAAATGCTGGGCTTGGCAAAGTGTGGAACCGGCTTTCAATATTGAGATCTATGAGTACCCATGATCTGCTGAAGTAGCTTATTTTTCTTAATCACTGAAAATTAATATCTTGTCTCATCCTGCAAGTCTCTGATCTGTCTTTCTGACACGTAGGTGGTATTGGTGTTTCCTGTCAGTAAGTTGAATGGTTTTTATCTCCTGTGTATGGTAGTATATTTTGTCACTGGAAATGAAAGACCCTCTCAAAAGGAAAATAATAAGAGAGGGAAGGAGTTTATTATTTTAGTCTTTAGTTGCTTTCTCTTAAAAGAGATATATTAATATTTTGGAAATTGAGAAGCATAAATGAAATACTACTTCTAAGTTATAAATAACTTACATCTCCTCCCTGTCAATGTTAGATTAATAAGCCTTTCTGACTCTTTACCTTGGGGGCTCTCTAAGTCTTTCAATTAGCTATTAGCTGTCTGAGAAAAGATTGCCATATTTTATATCATTACTCTGATTTATGATTTGCTAATCTGCTTCCCTTTTTTCAGATGAATATATCACCAGTAGCTCTTGCTCGTATTTATGAAGAAGACTTTAAACAAGATATGGCTGCCTTAAAGGTACAAATACTCAAGATTCTAAATTCAAGACTATTTCTAAGCAATTATTTTGGTAAAGAATCTGGTTTTGAGAGTTTGATCTGAAAAAATAAATTTGTTGCTTGGAAACTGAGTGCTGATTTACTTTTTCATTCTTCTGGAATGATATTGCACACCTTTTGAGTAAGGAAATGTGGGGAGCTGAGCTTTGGAATAAGCAAGTTACATTTCTATAGGAACAGTTTTTTCCATATTTAGTAGATCCTTGATTCACAGATATTGCATATTTACTATAATGCAGAAATAGCCTGATTGAAAGCACAGGAAACATGAAATCTTCTTTCGTTGATTTCAGGTGACTTTTCTTCTTGTCTCGCTGTCAGAAGCAGAGAGTGAGCCACTGGGAAAATCAGGGTTTTTCTCTGCCACCTCTCAGATATTTTTTCTGTGTGTGTATTATCTTAAATATTGCTTATGAATTTTTTTATGATACCTGCAACTTTTTTTAAAGATACAGTTGAGGAGAATGTTCTTTTTAGTTTGTTTCTTAGAGCGTAGGAACTCATCGGCAGTGTGTTAATGCGGTGTTACTCTTTTTTTAAGGTCCTTCCTCCTACGGCATATATGAGGGTGACTGACAATATTCCTCAAATAATTTCCTTTATAAAAACAATAATTTCCAGTGGACAAGCTTATGCAACCTCGCAAGGTAAGACTTTGAGCAAAGTAACTCCTTGTTCAGCACATGTATAGGAAGCCACTGCTCTTAGTAATCCTATTTTGGAATCAGAAGAGATACCTTGTGCCAGGCTTTCTTTCTGTTGCTTAACAGGGTGTGAGTGAATTGTTTATGAAGACATGAGTGGGCAGAACAACTGTTACTCAATTTCTAAGTTAAATGTAGCTCATTATTTATTGTAATTGTTTACTGTAATAAACTGCTGTCTAAACTCCTTGGGGAAATCCTGGCCTGGTTTCTACAAGAAAGCTGGGGAAACCTCTGAAGAGGAGCTGTGTATCTCCTATGTGCTGTAAAAGATGTGCCTGCAAAGCAAAATGTGTGGATTTCTTTTTTAGCAGAGCTGGTGGTTGTAGAAGAATTCAAGTGCATTGTAACTGGACTAGGTGTAGCTTGAGCTGCAGTGGGGGAGGGCGTTGCTGATTGTGCATGGGCAAGGAAGAACCTGGGAGATCCCCAGAATTCAGAGTTATGCTATGGGTAGAATGAGCATGTGCACAGAGTTACTGCAAAGCTGGATAATATGGGACATCTGCTACTACTTTTGCAGTATTTCTGAATTTCTAAATCAGAATTTCACATCGGAGTGGAAGAGCACATTATTTTGCTTTCAGGGAAATGTTATCAAGTTCTCATCAATGTACCCATCTTTGCTATGCAACTAAACATTTCTTTTGTATTAGGCAATGTTTATTTTGATGTTAAATCCTGGGGAAAAAGATACGGAGTGTTCACTGCTATTAACCCTGATACCCAAGATGAAGCAGGTAAGTTTGTGGCACGAGCTTGTTTGTGTTAATGCATTGTTTGAATGCATTTTGCATCTACATGCAAACTTTCATTCAACAGTCTGATACAGTTTTCTAACCCATTGGGTATAGCTGGGTTTCTGATTAATTAAGGTTACAGTGCTTTTGTAGTTATTTTTTTGAAGCATTCACTGTTGCCAGTGCAGGAGGAAACTTGGTTTTTCTTCTTTCTTTCGTCCTTCCCTCTATACTTTTGTTCTGGTACCTTAGAACAATTAGGATTCTCAAGCAATTTTAATTATATACTTGGCAGTGGTACATTGAAACTTCACAGTGAGGTGGTGTTCTTGCTGTTGCAGTAGCCAGCAGTGAAGTACTCAAGGGAAAACACAAGGAAACCTCACCTACCATGTTCTTGTTGGGGCGGTTGCACTGCTCTGAAGTTAACTGGATGAATTGCTTCCTTCATTACTTGTCACTGGGCTAAGCAGCCTCTTTGTGTGAGAGTGAGCAATCTCTTCATAGGCTGTGCTAGAGCAGGGCTGTACCATGGCTGTGGGGATTTTGCTCCAGTTCCTACTTTGCAGGATTTGCTTTGCTGAACCTCTGTTAGTAAGGATCTGATCAGGTCTCTGCATCAGAGAATTTGATTCAGGTCTTTTGCATCCTTTTGCAAACTAAAGTTCAGTATTTCATCGTTAAAAAAAATCTGTTTGTAATTACTGCAAATGCCTTGGAGGCTGATGCTCAGGTGCAGCCAGAACTTCTCACAGCTCTGTTCTGGAGTTGTTTCAGCGTTACAGCTTACAGAGGGAATGCGTCTTGTCAACAGTTATTTAGAGGTAATTACGACTGCAGAGAGCCAGCAGCCTCCTGGGCTGCACAGGGAGGAGCATTGCCAGCAGCTCAGTGGAGGTGGTCCTGCTCTGCTCAGCACTGGTGAGACATGCCTGGAGTGCAGGTCTGGTGCTGGGCTCCCCAAAACAGCGGTGGAGAAAGGCCAGCAAAGGGCCACAACAATGATGGAGGTACTGGAGCATCTTTCATGTGAGGAAAAGCAGACAGAGCTGGACCACTCAGCCTGGAGAAGAGAAGGCTTGGGGGAATCCTACCCGTGTGTACTCATACTGATGGAGTAGAGCAGATGGAGCCAGGCTTTTCTCTCTGGTGCTTGGTGATGGGACAAGAGGCCCTGATCACGACTTGAAACACAGGAAATTCCATTTAAAGCAAAGAAAAATCCTGTTTACCCTGAGGGTGGTTAACACAACCCATGTTGCTCAGAGAGGCTGTGGAGTCTCCATCCTCAGTCAAAGCTTAACTGGACACTATCCTGGGCAGCCTCTGTAGCTGCTCCTGATCTGAGCAGGGGGTTGGATTAGACTGTCCCCAGAGGTGCCTTCCAGCCTCAGCTGAGACTGATTATGTGTTTTACCCTGCTTCCCCTCTAGTCACAACTAAGTGCGTTCTTATTTCTAAAGATTTTGACACTTGTTTTGCTTACAACTGAGAAGTTGAAGAGTGCTCTTTTGTGGCAGTATACTCAAAACAGGGCAAAAGAGGGTTGGAGTCAGCAGATACTGGTCACTCAGAGCTTGGCAATCTAGTGAAAGAGCCCAGGTGAAGATTCAGTGGATAAAACTAGGGTTACATTTTTGTATCTTTAGTTCTTAGGAATTTTGAGTTGTATGATTCTAAAAGTGAGGTCACGTATTTGTCAGAAAGAAAGTCCAGAGTCTAGAGCCCTGTTCTGTGGCTCCTGCCAGGGGTTGCTGTGTATTTGACTGGAGGTTAGGAGTCAGCAGAGATGAACAACCCTGCAGTATTGTAACAAAGAGGACTGCATCTTTGGCAATGTAGTGAAGGAAAGAGCAGATACAGCTGTGAGGAGACCTTTGTAGAGAACCCATTGGTGAAAACGGTACTGAAAAATTGCTACTGTCCAAGAATAGTTTTGATTCTTATCTGTGTACACTTTGTTTTACAAAATCTAAAATACAAAGTAGTTGTGTCCCAGAGAAAAAATTGTAGGGTGTTTGTTTGTTTGTGTGTTTTGGTTTGGTTTTATTACCTTTTCTGCTGTAGTGCAGTCAATTTGTCCTGGGGAAACTGGCTGATATGTAACTAAATGAATGAAAAATAAGACAAACCAGGGAAGGCTAAAGGGACTGATAGGATAGGATATTTAAGGAATCTTGAATCCATCTTTGTAGCTTGTTGAAATCTATTTCAATATTCCAATATTTCAATATTTCAATTTTCCCTGTGTGAGGGGGAAGAGAGGGAAGTTGTAGTGAGAAGTTGATTGAAGGGGATTAAAATCAGAGTAGTTCACTAAATACACATTTCCTCTTGCTTTCATTTGGTCATTTTTTTTCTTTGAGACATATCCTATTAACAAATCACTTATTCTTGCCAGTTGATTCTGATAAACGACATGGTAAAGATTTTGCCCTGTGGAAGGCTGCCAAGCCTCAAGAGCTATCTTGGAATTCTCCCTGGGGAAAAGGACGACCTGGATGGCACATTGAATGTTCCACAATATCAAGGTCAGATTTCTTGGATTTTGATAAATCTAATGCTATTTTTCGTTTTCAGTCACAGTACAATGGTAGCAGCAGTACTGAAAGTGTTTTCTGATCAGTAGGTAGCACTGGTTTTAATGTGACCATTTTATGCAACTTGGGATGTCACATGTGGCCCATATAAACTCTGCTTCACCTTACTGTCACAGCTATGTTTTGGCACCTTCTCTTGAGTCAAACTTGGTGCTTAAAGTATGGCACATGGGATCACAGTCCATTAGCAGTCTTTTAACTTGAGCTGAGTAACCAAAGGCGTGGTGGAAGTTATGGTACCTCTTCCATTTGCTTCCCTTCCACTTCTAGCAGTCTCCATCAGACCTAGTTCAGGCTGTAGGTGTCAGGAGGACAGGGTGTGGGATTACAGCTTGATCTATGAGATCTTGATGGCCTTATCTTAACAGCAGCTGTGGATGTTCATGCTAATAATCTAAGTGTTATTCAGCATTCTTGCTTAGTAGTGTTTTGCTTGCAGTTGGTTTGATGTAATTTGCTCTTAATTTAAAGTTTCATTTTCACCACAGGAGAAAAAGTCTTCTCTCCTGGAAGATTGATAGTGTACTTAGTTTTGCATTAGACTCAGATCTTTTTTTGGAAGCTAATAAGAAATAGTTTAGATCTGACCTTGTTCAGCTTAAATTTTCAGCTAAAGCTGAAAGGAGGTGGAACCAGCTGCTTTAGGTTTTTCTTTCATATGCTTTTCTGGTGCACCTGGGATTGTTAGTCTTTTCCACCTGCTTGTGGAAAGTGTTTATAAGGGTGATTTTCTGTCTGTAAATAGTTTCAGCATAGTGAGGCAGCTCTTAAAGCAATCAAAGTGCACAAAATCATGCTGTGTTTGATGTACAACCTCTGACAAAAGTGCACAGATAAGAAATGCCAGTTACAACATGGCGTGTCTGCTAATGCACTGCTGTTTATAGTCTGCATTTCTTTCTCTAAAAATGTGTTTTACTGGGGCTGGATGAGGCTCCTGCCGTATAAATAAAAGACCCACTGGGAGCATGATTGTAGTAATCTTGGACTGTGAAAAATGGAGAGCTTACTTTGGTAAGTGACCTAAACCAATTTTCTGTCCCAGTCAGCTGCTGAAGGCCCATTTTTAAGCAATACTTACTTAGCTGTCTGTTTTGCCAAGTATCTCAGAGCACTTTAACTATGTTAGGTGAGTTAATTTTGATAAGTCTGTGAATGAGGAGTCTCTGGTCTCTAGAACAGCCCTGGAGGAGGGAATCCCCTACTTTGTCCCCTTCAGGTCTGATCTTCTCTATGCATTTTCCCTTGTGGTGAGGTGGGTGGCTCCTCCTGTCCCTGTGTATTTGCCATATCTATCTATCACCTCTCTCCAGCTCTTAGTGGTTTTGTTGGAGGAAACAGCAAGTGCTCCTCTGTAAGTGGCACAAGGGAAGGTGAGGGTCAGCCCTGGGAGGATTTGTGCTTTAGCTGGTTTTGAAGCAGGCAGAAGAAGAGAAGGATGAACTTGGGAGATGGTGACAGCTGCTCTTTCTTTCCTCCTCTCTTCTCCTCCTTGTCTTTTCCTCCTGTGCCCCAACAGCTTCTGCAAAGCCATCATGTGGCATAGTGTTAGCAGGGTGTTTGTCTCGAAAAGGGACCAAAGTATTAATGTTAGGCAGCTACCAGGAGCACCTTGTTAAAGTAACATATGGGAGGCCTGTGTGTTTGTGTTTGTTTGTAGGCCTTGCATCTTTCCCTGCCTGAGTACTCCTGGTTTCTGAGTAGTTAAGGTTGACTCACATCCCTATGAGGCTGTAAGTGTAAACTTTAACAGGCAAAATAAAGTTGCTAGCCTGCCCAGCTTGACATGACTGCACACACTATTGTTTGAATTCTTACAGGAAAGGTACAAGATAAGGAAGAGTAATACCAAATTTATAGAAATAAGTTGTTAGGCTTGCACATAAAGGCATCTGTCTGATACTGAAACTGTAGCAAAACAAGGAAAGGAGACATCCTCTTTGCTGTCCTTGAAGGTAGAAAAATAATTGCTTCTACTAAGGAGAAGTAATTGTGAACAGATATGGGTCCTGTCCATACATGTTCTGCTACAGTTTTGTTATCCAAGGTATGTGTAAAGTCTTGTTTTAAAACTGCAGTTACTAAGTTGTACACTTAAATATATGTTGTTTCATCTTATTTTTGTCTACATTTCTTTTTACAAAAAGGTTTTGTGGTGTTCTACTTACTGATCAGGAAAATATTGTTACAGTGCAGTGTTTGGAAAGCAGCTGGACATCCATACCGGTGGAATAGATCTTGCATTTCCTCATCATGAAAATGAAATTGCACAGTGTGAGGTGTATCACCAGTGTGAGCAGTGGGGGAATTACTTTCTGCATTCTGGTAAGTAAAATATTGATCACTTGAGAGGCCTGTACAAATACAATAGTTTGGGTTTTTTAAGTTTGGCATTTCATGCTGTGAGAACACGTTACACTGCCTGGCATTATGGAGAACTGCTCCTTGCTCCCTCTGCATAAAAGTGCTTCATTCAGAGAAGTTGTGCTGTACAGTGCTTTGAACTACATCACTGATGCCTCTATTGCTGTTCCCATTGATAGAAACCTTGGCATTTTTTCTTCCTGTTGCAGTCGTGGTGGTTCTGGATGGACAGCTGAAGTCAATAAAGTCAGATTCAAGTCTGCAGCCTCTCTTTTGCTGATTAGTATTTTGGGCAGGATGTCTCTATGAACTCTTGAGGCTGCTTCTCTGAATAGAAGAGCTGCAGAGTTAAGCCTGTGGTGCACTCTGGGAATTATGTGAGCTTTCATCTTTATATATTTGTACTGTTTGGGATGAATATTGAATTCTAGTTTCAGTTCCCAGTGTAGAGCCTGTTGTAAATCAGTAGCAATTATCCAGAGGCTGGTGCATCCTCCGGGGTGTGCTTTGTTCCCGAGGCGCTGTGGAATCCTCTGCACTTCCATTGAGATGCACTGGTTACTGCTGAGGGGAGCCTTCTGTTGACAAATCAGTGAATCTGGCTTTGCAAACTTGGAACTGAATCTGTAGGGGAAATATACCAGCTAAATAAAGAAGAGTCAATTAAAAAAAAAAAAAAAAAAAAAAGGGAGAACTTAATTCCAAGGGCAGTTTTTACACTGAAGTTCTCTAGGAGCTGACAGATTACATTCATTAAATCAGAAAGTCTTGCTGGAGGATGATGGTGTGAATTATTTAGGGCAAATGAATCAGCTTCAGAAACAATTTATTCTGCTAACAGACTTCAGAATTTTAGCAGCTCAGAATTGAAGGAGCAGTCCCCATTAGAGGAAGAAAATCCCTGCACTGGGGATAAATCTTACAAGGACTTTATTTTTAGACTACTTGTACTCTGGGAAGAGCGCCAAACCAAAGTTATGAAAATCCTTGTATTTTGTGTTCTTGAATGAAATCATTCTAAGTACTGAAACTCTTGGAAGAGGAATATTAATTCAAATTCAGATGTTACTGGTACCTTTTTAGGAAAACACAGTCCAACTATTTTAAGCTTGTCTGCCTGAAGTTAATTAAGTCAGTATTTAGGCACCTTTGCAAAAGAGAGAAAGTAATCTTACCCAGGCTCTTCCCCTTCTCCCAGGAGAATTTTGGCTGTGGGTTTTACTTGAGTCCCAAGAGCTGCAGGTGTCCAGCTGTGTCTGACAGCCTGAATATGCTTATTGAGTGTCCCAGGTTTAATGATGCAGTGGTGAAAGTGGCTTCACCTGCTAGCAGACAGGACAGACTGTTAAAGCAAGGTTTTTTATCATGGGTAGCTGCTGTAGCTGGTTCTGCATCAATAGATTTTTTGATTCATTCCTACTCTCCATAGAGTATGTTGTGCAAAATTAAGTTTTGAGGTGGTCAGGGTAGGACTTCTCGTGGTGAGTTCCTGCTTTGAATCATTTTCAGAAATAGCTGAGAAGTGAAATGATGAGCTTTTCAGGTCCAGTTTTCAGGCCTGAGCTTGTTGCTTTCATATCCAGATGAGCGTAATGGGGATTTTATCTGCTTGTGGAAGCAAGAGGGTTTCGGGCAAGGCTGCAAAGCAGCTCTGTGTAGCAAGTAGCACAAAATGCAGACAGCTGCATGGGTTGCAGAGCAAGAAATGCCACTTCTGTCACCACTCATAAAAGCAGGAGCACGATCATACATTGTCCTTGCACTCTGAGGCATTGGTAGCACTGGACTACCAAATGTGAAAGAATGCAGTTCTGGTAGGGTATTACAGAGCAAGATAAGTTTATGCTTAAAAATCTGTCTCAAAATATGATTAAGTGCTAGATACTGCAGGTCACAGAAGTGCCTAAAATCTCACATTAGTTGTGGGTGGTTGGTAACTTACAGAATTACTCTTTCATTAGGAGAAGCCTATTAAGGCTTTAACAACATTTCTGAAATTATGCTGGGTAGTCTTTCAGTGGCAGCATGTTTGTCACTCTCTGGTGCTGTGAATAATTGGTGTTTTCCATCAGTGGTGCTGCCATGATGAGACCTGGAATGAGATGTGGATGAGACCTGGAAGCAGGCAACCTCAGGCTATACCTCTCCTGTATTTCTTCAACAGAGCTTTCAATCCTAAAGCCAAGCTCTGCATACTCTCTTAAATGCAGTTTTACTACCTTTTTCCTGTGCTCCAGCCCTGCAAAGCAGTGATCTATGTGACTATTGAATGTTCTAGCAGTGCTCAGAGATCACACTTTAAAGTAAACTAATTCAAATTAGGTATTGTAGCTGCATCCCTCCCTCACCCTGCTTTTTCTCAGTCTCACAAGTCTGGAGAAGTTGAGAATCTGTAGAAAATTCATTTTGCATTTAAGATATTTTGAACCAGTAATATAAAACTTTGGGGTAAAAAAATAATGTTAACAGCCATCAGCAAGTAATAAGTACAGAAGATTGAGTTTTAAGGATTTTTAAATGCTAGATCACTGGAAAATATTTCTTAAAATACTTCTGAGAAGTCAAGAGTAACAGGTAAGGTACTTGTGAAGACTGAAACTATTTGCTTGCTTGTTTTTATCAGTTTATTGTCAGTTTTTTGAACAGGGAGACTCATGGCGGTGGTGGGATATTTTTGGTTTTTTTTTTTTTTAATGTTTTAAATGCCTGTATTTTAAAATTCACCCAGAGCAGGGAGACTCATGGCGGTGGTGGGGTATTTTTGGGGTTTTTTTTTAATGTTTTAAATGTCTGTATTTTAAAATTCACCCGGTGGAAGTTTTTAGGATGGAGATGTGTGCAGGACTGTAGGCAAAGCTATTAAAAATGTTACCCATTACATTGAAACGTTTAGCATGTATCCATCATAGCATATGCTGCCTCCAACATTTACAGTGTCTCAGTGCAGTCTTTCTCATTTGCTCCGTATTCAGTAGCACACTTGTTTATCCTGATTAATTCCTTTTTTTTTTTTTTAATTTTACTATAGGGCATTTGCACATTAAAGGAAGTCAAGAAAAAATGTCAAAGTCATTAAAAAACTACATAACAATTAAGGTAATTTCTTTGTTTGAATTGAAGCAATTTTGTAGGTTTATAATATGTAAATATTAATCACAGCCCTCTTTTGAGAAAGCTTTGGAGTGTGTGCTTGTGCTGCAGTGTTTCTCTAGTACTGATGTATCTGTTGTTGTGGATCTGGAGGTAGGATACCTGCTCAGATTCATGATTTCCTATAACAATGGATCTTGCTGAGCTGAGAGTGTTTGTAGGAGCAGAGTTTGTGCCCCATACCAGAATCCTGCACTGTAGATTTGTGGTTGGACTTGACAGTCTCGGGGGTCTTTTCCAACCTGAATGATTCTGTTCTGTAGTGATGGGTTCTCATTGGTCTATTCTTAATAATGCTTTGAAAAAGCATGGATTTGGGAAAAAGCATGGATTTGGAAAAGAATGATGTTTTTCCTAGTCCTTCTTTAGGTGAAATGGGGCATAGTGTCAGTGTTTTGTCAGGAAGCTACTGGCTATCCTGAACCACACTATTGCAGCAGTCTCTCCCATTGCCCTTTATTTTTTATAAGGTGGCCTTGCTGATGCACAGAAGCTTTGCCTTTTGATACCCCCGAGCCACATGACTGTGTGATACGTCACTGTGTCCCCAGGTCTTTGGTGTGGCCCAGGGCAGGGTTTCTCTGCCAGCTGTGTGTGCTACAGCTGAGCCTGGTGCTGGGGTGGCTCCCACGATGGCTGATGCCTACTGCTGGAATAGGGTGATTTCCTTCCTTTAGATGAAGCTTGGGAAACTGCTTTGGCATGTATGTTCCCCTTTGCCCTGTTGGAAAAATTAATTAAAATCCCTTTAAAAAGAAGTTCAATATGAGCTGCTTTATTCCTAAGTCTTCTGATGCTGTCTGGGTACAGTTTAGCCCTGTTTCCCTGGAGCTCACAATTTTCATAGAAATCTCACAAGTCTCAGCAGCTGTCGTGGACAGGTGTAGAAATGACCACAAATGCAGTGCATGGAGTTAAAAGCAGCATATAAAATGTTCCTCGCCATGTCCTCCATGATGGCACAGCTTGTGTTGAGGAAACAAATATTTCAGGTCTGTCTCTTTTCTTTTTGGTCTCTGTTTTTCATGTCTGCCCTTACACATGGGTAACAAGCATTAATCTTTCCTGAGGAGTGATTTTCAATCTAGTGAAACGATTTTTTCCTGTACACCTGCCTTGCACCTTGAAAGTTAAACCCTACATGGAAGGCTTTATGCCTGTGACAAAAGAGGGGAGGTCTGTCCAGCATCTTCCTTTGGTCCATCCGGTTGCCACCTGCATCCCAGGCTGTCACCTGGGCACAACAGCCCATCCTCTACATCCAGCTGGCCTGTTTCCCTCCCCTTGTACCCTACTCCAGTTTTTTCTTTCCTTTTTTTAATAGCTAATTAAAAAATAAATTAATTTAAAATTAATTAATTTTAAAAATTTAATTCTGACCCTGAAAATCAAAGAGATTGTGATGACACAGGGCCAAGCAACCTGCTTTCAAAGAGCTGTGATTCTTCATCTGTTCTCTGTTTTAAAAGAAATGCAGAGTTGTTTTCTCTAGTTTGGATGGTCCTTTCCCAAATTTGAATTTATTTCTGTACTGTACCCATATTGTTCTACCTCTGTATATTAGTGTAAAGCTGCTGGGCATATGGGGTACACTCATATATATCCAGTTTATTTTAAAAACCCACAACAAGCAAATGAACACCCACCAAAACAATCAGTATTACTGTTTCTTGATTGTGATTGCCTCAATTATTTCTGTTTTCACTTGAGAGACAACACATTGCTGATGCTTTTCCACTGTTCAGGCTGGTTTAGTCTTGTACCAGAAGCCTTATTTAAAAATGTGAGATTTAAGCAAATTACACTTTCCATATTTTATCACTTGTACTGTCTTCTTATTATTTTTTATTTTTGTGGCACTTCAGTGATCCTCATCCATTTGCAAATAAAAAAAATTTGCAAATTAAAAACAAAACAAAAAAAAAGCAGAAGTGCAATAGTCACAGTCAATCTACCAATCTACCACAATGTCCAGCCTTGCCTGAGAGCAGGGTTGGAGGTGATTGAATGTTTTATTAGTGTACCTTCCAAAGATTTAAATAGTTCATTATACTATTAATATAAATTAATTGTACTAGTAGTAATACTAATAGTTTACTGGAGTAAATTATTTGTAAAGCTAGATAAATATTAGAGTGGAGTTTACTAGTCTTCATAATTAACACAGATAACTCTTTTTATATTGCTGAGATTTATCTTTGTTTACTACTTGTGTTTCTTCGTATTCTAGTCCTGTAGAAAAAGTGCACTTATTTTCTTTTTCAATAAATCTTTGTTTTTGTAAAGTTTGCACAACTCAGGAGCTTTCCTCTCTCTAAGATTGCATCCCAATCTTAGTATGATAATTTCATTTTGGGTTTTTTTTACAAAGGTGTTTTTACAGTGTATGTTTGATTGTATTTGCAAAGTAATTTTCACTGTCTTATTGGACATTGTGCGTATATTTATTGTCTTGTATATATGTATGCACATCTATCTTATACGGAATTGAATTTTATTTAGTTTAGGCTTTAAAGCAGTGTCAAAGTTTAAAGGTTTTATGCCTGTCTTAAATTGCAAAGATGCGTTATTTGTCATGTTAGTTTGAAAAGCAAGGGGGTGAAAGAGCTCCTGAAGAAACTGATATCATGCTAAAGCTGTCTTTTTGTGCATGGAGTTTAGGATTTCCTGGAGAAATGTTCGTCAGATCAGTTCCGAATGTTTTGTTTGCGCGGCAGATACAGCTCAGGTAAGGACCAGCCCCTTCCCTGCATGGCGCTCCCCACGCCGTTCCCGCCGGCCTGCGGAGGCACAGCGAGCTCCCCGTGGGTGAAGGGTTTTGGTGGTGCTCTCTGGGGCTGCTCTTTGGCTAACATTTAGAAAGTTGTCTTTACTGGGCGCAGTACATAACCTTTCATTTAAATACCTTCTTGAGCTTCAATTCATAGTTAATTGCACTTTTAATTAATTAATTACTTCTGTGTCTGATTTGCATATGTTGTAGTTACTTGTATTGCAGTCACGATCAGCTGGTTTTGAAGATGTATCTAGATGGAGCTGTGGCTTATATTCCTGTAGACGGTATGATGAGGACTGGCTAGTAATTTTTTATCTCCCTGCTGTGTTACCATTTTTGTCCTGTGGAGTTCCTGAGTGTTCAGGCAGTCCCGTGGTGCAGTGCAATTCACTTAGACCAGCACATGATAACCTAATGAACACCTTAGATGGCAGATCATCTCTCTGCTGGTGGGGAGATTTTGTCAGCTTCCCTGTGTACCCCCATAGTGTTTCCAGCAGGTAGATGCTACTTTGAGCTGGAAAAGGTTTTCATATGCCTGCGTTCCTACCAGCTTATTGGGACCTGCCAAAAGCAGATGGTATCTCCTTAACCACTGCTGGGTCACCTGGCTTGTTGGCTGTCCAGGCATGGCAAGGGAGTAGTGGAGCATGGGCAGCAGCTGCTGTGGTGTCCAGTGGGCCTCTGCCTGCCTTGGATAAAGCACCTGTAGCAGTGTGACTGTGTGAGCTGGCCTGGCCAAGGCTCTGGGGCACTGCTTGTGCCTGTCAGCATGCAGTGTGCTGCCAGGCTTTATAGTCATGCAGTCACTGGACTGAGAAGTCTTTCTGCTTGTTCATGCTGCTAGCTGCCTTGCAGGAGCCACCCATGTGATCTTCCTGGTGGATCCTTCCTCTCCTAGGACAGTTGAAGGCATCAGGAATTGAGTAATCGCAATATTTCAAAGCATGGGATAGTAAAGAGAGAGGTGGTTATTAACTTCCTTGCCACTGTCACAGAAAGAGAGGGGTGCATCCAATTGAAGGTCTGCTGCAGAGCAGCATCGTGTTTGGGCATGCAGTGGATTGGTGGCATGCTTGGCTGCTTTGGGGTGATGCTGCAGGGCAGTGGAACACTTGGCTGATTGCTTCTTTTAGGAGATGAAATACCTTGTGTACACTTAGGGGGATCCCTGGCTGGCGGCACTTGGGAGATGTGTGTTTAAAACAAGAGGAAAGACTAACACCTGCTACCACTATCATATGTATATGTTTGTCATTTGAGCAAGAGCTAAATGTCTGGTAGTTTCTAACCTTGCCTCAGGACAAGGAATGGCACTGGCGTCCAGCAATGGAGAGCTGCCCGCAGGCTTTTTTTTTTTCACTCCCTGTCAGCTGGCTGCATTTGAGCCTGTGCTTTTTGCATTACTTCTAGGATAAACACCCCCTGAGGTAAAAAAAGAGTGCTACCTGTGTGGATGTGGGTGGCTTTGATGAAAGGATGTGCTGGTGTCATATCAGAGTATAAGCCAGTTGGCAGGTAAGGGTTGCTTAGAAGTCTGTGCTTCCCACCTCCACCTTGCAAGGCCTTGTGCGTTATTAGCTTCCCAGTAAAGAGCCAGAGTTGGTCTCTGCTGAGCCAGGTATTCACTGTGCTGCCTGTCAGCTTGTGTCCCTGCTGTCAATATTCACTTTGGTCTAAACATAAGTTTACTGCACTCCTTCTCATCTTGCTGTCTGCTGGTATTTTTATTAGAAGTGAGATCTCAAGCACATTCTCATTTCTTAAAAGGTTTTTATAGCCTAGACCCATGGGTGATGGCTCCTGCCATTCCCATCTGCCAAAGAAAGCCTTTTATAAAATCCAGGTTTGAGGGTCAGGTGGTACCACAAACATGGGATTGAATCTGTAAAAAAGATCTGTGTAGGCATGTGGATGAGGGCAGCTGCTGGCATTGGGAATGGCTCATCCTTGATACTGTGTTTTCTTTGGCTTGGAATGGGCCTTTTTTGTTGTCTGGGCTACCCCCCTGTCTCTGTGGATGTTAACGGGCACAAATAGAGACAAATGCGACTCCAGACTGGCCCAGCCTTGGAGGGGCAAGGGTTGAAAAGGGTGTGTGCAAAGAGTGGAGTCCCTGCCTGTGATGATCATTGTCAGAGGAAGGATAAAGCAGCATGCCTTGCTTGTGGGGAAGAGGAGAAAAGTCAGAGAGAAGAGACTTTGATCATCCTTCCATAATGTATTTCTGCATGGGGTGCCCTGCTTCATCTGCCTCTTTGCCTCTCTGGTAGTGGGGCAGAGCTGCTCGGGGTGAAGCTGAGCTCTGGGGGCAGTGGTTATTATCTGGGCATTTTGCTTTGGCTGGTGCCTCTGGCTGTTCCCTTCTTGGCCTGAGTCACCACCCTGTGGCACATCTGGGGCTGTTGGGAAAATGATTTCTAGGTACCCGAGGCAGCAGCATGGTGACCCTCCACCAGTGTGCCAGCTGCTTCTGGGTACAGCTTGAAAGGAGAGGTGCCATCTCTGAAGTCCTGTGGGACCCTGCTGTGAGGCAGCACTTTTCCTCTTGCATCTCTTCAGCAGTGGCTTCACTTTATGCAGTGAAGGGCAGGGCGTGTGAGCCTGGCCACAGGCAGTTCGGTTTTGTCTCCAGAATGTTCTCCTGATCACCAGAAATGCTCTGGTGATTTTGTGAACCTGAGTGAACTGCAATGTTTTGACCCCTCGGATGTGCAATTATTTGTTGGTGCTAATAAATAAATGTATTGTAATTTGATGATGCTTTGGTGATGCTGTTGGTGGTGAAGGAGGGAAGGAGTGGGGAGCACAGTGAAGGTTCTTAGGGCCAGGCTTGCCTGTGCTGCATTTTGGGTTTGCAGTGCCTGCAGGAAGTGGTTTAGGAGTATGCCCTGAACGGGGGATGAAGAATGGCTTGAATGAAAGTAGGTTTCATCAGGATAAACTTTTATCAAGTATTCCTTGCAGAATTCTTGTAAGCAGGTTAATCAGTTGAGTAATGCTAGTGTATATAAATGATCACTCTCAGTCTCAGTGTGTTATAGAGGTCTGTACATTGGTCTTTTTGAAAACGGAGTAAAGCTTGATTTAATGAGGCAGTAATGCAGATTTTTAATTATACACAAGTGAAAAATCTGACAAATAGAGGTCCAGACTTATGCCTTTGTTACACTGGGGTAAATCCTGTGTAAAGTCTGTTTAAACAGTTAGGCTTTCTTGGGATTTAGGCTAATGGAAATGAGATTGGGTCTCACATCTGGCTGCTTTTTCCCTCTTACATCTGTCCTCTTGGTAGAACTGTCTGCTCTAAAGAGCCTGTCTGGGCAGCACTGGATAATTCTACAAAGCAGCTGGATGCACCACAGGGAGGACCAGGGGTGAGATTTCTGTGGAAGCTATGGGTGATGCTCAGTGCTGATGGTATTAGGAATAGGCTGGCAGCAGTAGTTTGGATGTACCTTACTGCTGAGGTCAGGTGTACAGCAGTGAAGCAATGCTGCTCTGGCAATGGGTGGCTCTGGTGTGATCCTGGGGGAAGGAGTGCAGTCAAACTTAGGCCTGTCCTAAGGACACAACTTCCACTGAGGTCAGGTGAGCTCTCTTGTGTGGGCTCCAAAAGCTTTTCTACAGAAAATTGCACATTCCAAATTTAATTGTACAAATTTAAAAAAGCCTGTCACTGATAGCAATTCCCAGTAAAAGTGACAGTGAGCTAGTCTGGCACACCTGCACTTCACAGAGTGCAGGCAAGGCGAGAGGAGTCTGCTGAACTCCTGCCAGCAGGAGTGGACTCTGGAAGCTCCCAAAGTGGAATTGCCTGCCAAAGGTAGGGTCTCCCTGAGTGCAGTGGGGATGCCTGTGTGCATGGATGCCTTGTTAGTGGTAGGGCTGATGTTACTGTGGCTGGTGGAAGAGAAGCTCTGTAGGGTTCCTGTACGGCATATCTCATTGTAAAGTGAAGCTCAGTTGTGGATGCAAGGAATCATTTACCTTGAGGTTTTATCTTTCTTTCCAGTGGCCATAAGAGGCTTTCATATGTGTGAGTGTGATAAGTCCCATCCTAGACATGCCCTTATGAGTTTAAGCAATTTGTATTTTCTCTAAAAATAGCTTTCTCAAAGTGGTATGGTCAGTTTAGCTTTGATATTGTGAGGGAATTGTTCAGGAGCTACACCACAAATTTTAGGTTAATCTGGATTTTAGATGTTGGTGAGGCAGCCCTTTAAACAGAATCAGTGGTGAGGGTTAGGCTTCTTTGGATGTCTCCAAATACAAATTGTGTCTACCTAAATTAGAATAGGCACAAAATTAGAGGTACATGTTGCCATCACTAGAACACTTAGAAGTATATTAAATCCTAATGCTTTGGATTGATAACTTTGCAGAGAAATTTAATAATGGAAAAAAAATTAAAATTAAATAGTGATTACATCAGTAAACTTCCAGATTCAACTTTTTGAATCAGTTTGATAAGTGTTCCAGTAGGTTATACTTTGTCATATGTAGTCATTGTCTTTTATATGATTTAATCCATCTTGTGTGGATGAAGAATGGAGCTTTTAATTAAATGTGCAATTAATTGTAAGAAGTTTGCTATACAAATAATAACAAACTTCTCCTTTGTCTCCAAATACTGTTCCTATGTATGACAGACAACATTCTCTCTATCATAATGCCTTGATTTCTTTTTTCTCAGCAGTAGAATTTAGTGAGGAGAGCATGGAAGATGCAAAGAACCTTCTTCAGGCAATCTCCTCATTTATTAGAGATGCAAATGCTTATATAAAAGGACAGCTGGTGTGTGACCCTGTTAGAGAAGACATATTGTGGGAAAGGTAAGTGCACTTCCTGTATCTTAAAAGATTGTGATTATGTGAGCACTAGTTTGCTGACAGACTCAGGGGTTCTGTTTAAGAAGCAGGACAAGAAGGACTAAGCAACAGTCCTCCCTCTCAGCCCAAAAAGCAAGGGCAGGTTTTTTTAAAAATTCTCTTTTCTAGCCAGCTGTTTTTGCTCTGAGTCTGCTATACTCAGTTCACTGTGTTTTTAAGATCACTGTTACTTTTCTGGTGTGCCTGTCCTAACACAGGCATCTTTGCCCCTGGTGAGTGATGTAGGAGGCAAAGCTGTGGCAGTTGTGAGGCTCCCCGGTTCGTAAGCAGAGCTGGGCAGTGGTGACTGGAGAAGAAAGAGGATTACTGGAGAGTGACACACCTTGGGCATGTGTATTTGTAATCAGGCTGGCTGGCACTGTGGTGTGCAGCAGAGGAGAGAAGGGGCTACTGAGAGATTGGCCGTGGGCAGGGATGCCACAGGGAAGGAAGCAATTACAATTGTTGTGACCCTGACAATGGTGAGGAGAATCCTTTGAAGTCCATTATGAAAACCAGGTGATCTTCAGGACTGAGGTGTGCTGTGTCTTGAGTGCAAAGCTGAGAGCAGAGCATGGAGTCAGGGTAGGAGGGGCGTTGAGTGCCACAAAGCAAAGTTAGTGGTGGCAGCTCTGGGCTGTAGAATCAGAGGGGAGATGGTCTGTGCTGTGGAGGCGAGAGGCAGCTTCCTTATGGTTCAAGTACCTCACTGTTGGGGAAGCTTGTGGCTGCACTGACTGAGGGTCGCAAGGGGCACTGGAGCCTGTTACGAGAAAGTGGAGTTGCATTAAGTAGCTGTGGTATTTGGCAAAAGCAAATCCTTCAGCAGGAGGCTGCAGGAGATCTGTTAGTGCAAGATAAAGCTGAGAGGCATGAGGAAGTTGAAATGGATAATCAGTAGGCGATGTGTGGGAGGGCACAACTTGTGCATTCCTAGGTGTAAAAACAATGAAAATGAAACAAAGCTCTTAATTAGCAAAGTGTTAGATACTCAGTGGAGAGGGGTAAGCTTGCAGGGAAGAGTGTTGGGAAGAATGAATTAGAACAGCAGCCATCCAGTATCTGAGGGGAGGTAGGCATTCCAGGCAAAAAATTACAGAAACAGGCAAAATAAGGCTCAGGACAGCCCCAGAGATGCTAGGACAGCTTAAGGTCCCCCTGCTCCTTGGACTTTTTTGGGAAATGGCATCCTTGGGCTAGCGCTGTCAAGCTCTGGTTCACCTGGCTGTGTGTGGGAGCATGCTGCCAGCAGCTGTTTGTAGCTCTCCATTTATCCCTGCTGCTCTCCTCATCTCCCTCTCCCAGTGGCTGCAGCTGGTGGTGCAGGTTCTGTGGTGATCAGTGCTGGTTGCCTGCTGGCTTTTGGCACTGTTACACAAGTGGTCCCAGTGGACCTTTCCATCTGGGCCATGGTGAGTGGAATCCCTTGGGACTGGCACTGGGCTCTCCTGGGAAATGAGGAGGCAGTGCTTGGTTCTGAGTCGAATCCTGACAACAGGATTCTTGGCCAGCCCCAGGACAGCTTTCTTGCCAGGCACTGGAGAGCTGCCTGTGATGTGCCTTTGGAAGAGAAACATGCTGTTAGCATGATTAATGGGCTGCTGGAAAAAAAAAAAAAAACCAGAACTCAGTGAGATCTTTGATATGCTTAATATCAGTCTCATTTTCCATCTGTTTTTAAATTATTTAAGGCAAACTTTGCTCTGTTGTTGTTGGCCCCTCTGATTAGCCATGTATATTTATTGAATGGATAACACTTAGGATTTTGACATGCAAAAAATTTTTCCCTTCACAGCAGAAAGATGTATTCTCCCTGATGAGTGCAGCACTGCCCATCACAGGACAGCTGGGAAGGAGATGGCAATGTCCTTTTGGTGACTCCCTCTGGCTGAATGACTGATGATTTCAGCATACTGCTGGCATCTTGTTTGTCTTATCTCAAATGTTACCTTTTCTTCTTGAAGGCTAGCCAACACAAAAGTAACCGTGAAGGCTGCGTTTGCAGATGACTTTGACACCTCCAGGGCTGTTGCAGCAATTATGGACCTCATTCACCATGGCAACAGACAGCTTAAGGCTGTTACTAAGGTAACCCATTAGGATACAGAGATCAGAAAATGACAGCTGTCCACTGTCCTACTGCTTAATGCAGACAGATTAGTTTGTTGTTCACATAAGATACCAGCAGAAACAAAGCTCCATAAATTTTTGACCTTAGTGGAGCCCATTTGTCCTGACCCTATCACAGGAATTGTGCATGGCTATTGTTTTGTGCTCTGTTGTGTCCAGAGGATGTTTCTTTCCTGCTGCCCTATATTATTTATACCTAAGGCTTTTGGAAGTCCTGAAGCTGTTGTGACATGCTGCTAATTTTAGTGCTGGTTCTGTGTTCTTACCCTGCTTCTTTGCTTAATATCCATGCACAGAAATTAGGCTAAACTGGGAAGTGGTGGGGGGTGGTTGCTGCAGGGGCTTTGGCCGGCAGCCTCAGGTGCACTGGACAGTCGTGGTGGCGAGTTCAGCGTTGGGGACTGAGTGGCTTCTGCTGTCTCCTGTAACTGGCATCAGCATGAGTCTGTCTTCAGATGGCTTTTGGCAAATTAAGACCCTGTTAAGATCTCTCATGCTGATACAAAGAAAAGATCTGGTAAGGACAAGACTTGAGCAATAAACACTCTCTGAAGCACTTCTGGGTTTTCCGTTTACCAGCAGCTCCCTGTGTCACTCAAGGTGAGCACCTCACTCTTGTTGCTGTGCTCCTTGAGTACTGGTGTCATCATGGTCACCATGTTTGTGTAGTAAAAGAAATGTTGTGTAAATGGTAATAACTGGTTTTAAGAGAGAATTAGACTGTTGGTTTAGAAATCCTGCCTCGCTCTGGTCCTGTTTTGGCATTGGCTTTAAATTTTGTCCTTAGCCTTATCTTTACAAATTGACTCTCTGAGCAGATCCCTGACCTGAAACACTTTGCAGCAGGGATCTGTAATGGCATTGCCACTCCTAGATACAACTACCCCCATTTTGTCAGTCACTGCTTGTTCCTCCTGAATTCCTCCTGTCAGTTGTTTTGTTGAGAATGGGATGGGATATTTGTGGAGCAGCTGACTCGGATTTCTGGTTGAGGTGGTGGAGCTTTTCTGGGTAGAGCTCAGCTGTCTGGAGTGTTCCCTCTGTATCATGAGTGTAATTTTTCTCCTTAAGAACTGTGAGCAAATCCACATAACTACTTATACCTCTCTTTAGCCTCCCTGCTAAGCATTTCTCACCTTAGATGTCATGCTTCTGTTCCTTTCTCCCAGTGGCCTGCTCCAGCTCCTCCCAGTTCAGATCTTCCTATACATTTTATATTATAGCTTATCTCAGGCCCTAAGGAAGATGTCAGATAAAATCCAGTACCAGCTGCTGATTTGCTTGTGCATATCATCACTTTTATTTTTTAGGGAAGGGTTAGTCCCTTAAATTGCTCCTCAGTCTGTCATTTAATCTTTATTTTATTGCTGCTGCTGATTGCTGGTGCTACCAGGGCATGACAAAATGCCATACACTGTTTCAAAGTGGTCTCCACATGGATCAAATTAATAAGATACTCAAATAATTTGTTTTTAATCTTTTATATTATAGGTGCCTATGAATGTGGGATTTTGTTCTTTTTGTTTCCATACACACAGCCCTTTCATGCCCAGAAGTGCTATTTTTATTTCTAATTTACTGCACACATGTAATGTGTGGCAGCTTCTTATATCTGTTCTTGCTGTGCAGGCTGGTGATAAGCTCTTCCTTCCCTTGTTTACTTAAATCCCTTCCCTTTGTGCTGTGAGGTGCTTCTGTATCTCTGTAAGATTGCTTGGGCAGGTGTTCCTGATGGAGGTAGATCTTTATAATTAGTAGTAGTTTTCCCTTGTGGATTAGGCTGCAGAGAGATGCTGGGCTCTGTAATGTGTATTGACTGGACAATCTCTTTTGAGTGTTTTCTAAACAGGATGCTGGATCTCCTAGAAGCTCTGTTGTGTATGGAAGCATTATTTCCTATATTGAAGGCTTTTTCAGTGCTCTTGGGATGTCCTTTGGAGAAAGACAGGTAATGAAATATCTCTTCTATGTGTTCAAGGATGTGGTAGCAGCCCCTATGTTTCATAGAGTGCTTTCTGAAAGCATCAGATGTAAAAAAGTTATTTATGGTTTTAGTAAACCTTTCTGCACCGCTTGCAGTTTCTCCTGTGATGTTTTAGGAGAGTATATGAGCAGGTGGAACGAAGTGTGGGCTTTTTAGTTCTTGGAAGTACTCCCATGTGACTTCTGCACCAGTTTTGCTGTGGAAATGAAAGACTGAGGAATGAAACAAGAAAAAGGCATTGGAGGCATTTAAATCGTCCTGTAATGTCTCTGGCCTTCCCCAGCTTTTCCTCTTCTTCCTGATGGCTGTATCCAGGCTGGCTTCAATAGCTGTGTGAATATTTGCAGTTGTGAGGGATCCCACTCCTCTGCAAAAAGCCAAGGGAAGGGACTGCTCTGCCTTGAGCCATGGGGGGGATATGGGGAGGGGAGGACAATGAGCTGGCGATGGGGCCCTTACATAACTAGTTCCTGGAAAGATAGGAATGGGGAAAGAAAAAAAAAAGGAGAGAACAGCTCAAAGCAAAGTACTGAATGGGAAAGAGAGTCATCAATATGGAGGTGATATCCCAACCTATGGAAGCTTTTAAAATGACACTTCACTATTGGAGAATAGCAGGGTGTTCTTTGCTCCTCTCCTGTTCAAATGTGGAGCTGAATGCAAAGTAGTGGAAAACTTTCTGTAGAGAAACTTTTCTGCAAAACAGAACAGTTATTTTGGGGAGGGGGAGAAGATAATAAGAAAATGTATATAACAGTATTCATCCTTCAAAAATCAGGTAGTGTAGTGGTAAATGCATTTATTTAGTTTGCCTCCATGGATTTTCTCACAAAATTTCTTTCAAAACAGTGTCTGGTTGTGATTTGGCTATGTGTTACTCCTCACAGCCTGTAGTTTGCATGTAAATTTTTAGTGGCATACTAAACACATTTTTTTTGTTAGCTGGGTGGCAAAGTCATTCCTCCAGATTCTGGGCTGTCTGTATGCAGGCATCTGCTGCACCTATATTTCTGCTGAAACAAGTATCTGAATGCTTTTCTTTGTTTTAGGCTGTGCTAGTCCCTTTCTCTGTGTGGCAGGAGGATCAGCAGAAGATGCTGGTCTGAGATAAGCAGGAAGAGAGGAGCAGCTCATCAGACTTCTCTCTGTTCCTCTGCTCTTTCAGCTTCCAGTAAACAAATCTGTCAAAATCTTAATCAGAAAGGTCCATGGGCTACCACAGTTTAGTAAATAAAATGGTGTAGAGATTGTTCCCTGACTCTGAGACCAGCCAGAACAGCTCAGCATCCAGCCTTTCTTGCCTCTTAGCCAGGCAGCCCCAGGCATGCAGCTTTCCAGGAGCAGTCCCTGACCACAGTGGGTGCTGGCATGTGTGGGAGAGGGCTGCCTGGCCTGGACACTGCTGTGCTAACAGTGCAGAGGATACAGGCAGCGGTGTTTGGGCCCCCTCATTTGGATGTTTGCATGTAGCTTGTGGGTCTGTCTTGCGCCTGGGCTGGGATTCATCTCAGCTAATCAGCCTAATGTAGCTGCCTGTGCTTCTGAAGTCATCAGTGGGGATGCTAAGGAATGGCTCATCTCAGTCTAGTGCTGTATTACAATAAGAGAGCCTGTCTCTCCCTCTGCATTGGCAAGAGAAGATCTTATCCACAGGGAGGTAAGATGAATCCATCTGGAAAGGTGATGAGTGAAAACCATCGTGCCTGTTTTAGAACTGGGAAGCTTTTGCTCTCCCAAAGAGTCCTGAGTGTTGAGTGTATTGCAGGTGCAGCTGGGGCCAATCTGTGGAGTAAGCAAGGGCCAGAAATTTGAGATCAGCCCTGAGAGGCTGTTTTATGTGGCAGACCGGTTCATCTCCTAAAGCTGGTCCTTTTGAAGGCTCTCACTCCACTAGGTGCCTGGTTTGAACTCTTTCAGTGGTGTTTGTAGAGGCATGTTTCTTGTTCCCATCATCGTGGCTTTCCCTTCTGTATTTAAATATTTATCCTGCCACAGGTTACTATGGAGCGTTCTGGCACTTAGATTTATTACCTTTTTCAATCTCAAACTTTTTCTTTAGTATGGTTGCATATTTTGGGGAATTCACTGCATTTTAAACTCTTAATCTTCAACAGCTTCCCCCTCACTTCCTCCTGCTCCTCTTTTTTTGTCTGTGACCTCTGAAGCTCTGCTCCCTTTCGTTTCCATCCTGCTGTTTGGTGACTAAACCCAGTCCCTTCTGGCCTCAATTACTCAGCTGCCCTTCTGCTCCCAGATGATGTTGCTGCCAGGAGCTTTGCCCGTGGCCTTGGTGTGCTTTGTGCTCCTACTCTCGTGTCCTAGTGATAAAACACCACGGTGAGGTTCTCTTGTTTGTTGGAGGTTTGTCCTTTTGCTCCCCCTTGGGAATTTGCCTCTAATGAGAAACAGGGATGGTCTCTCTGCCAGGAGTGAGATCAGGAGCCTGGCTGTGCCAGTGCTGAGGAGTGGCCTTCCTCTTCAGCCGACTCCAAGCTCCTGTCCTGGCAGCTGTTGGAGCAGGACTCTGCAGGAGGAGTGAGTCTGTTCCTTTCCTGAGGCATTGACCAGTGAGACTCCTGCCAAGCCAGAGGAGGCCAGGGACGCTTGGAAGTGGCTGAGGGGAGGAAGGGGCTTGGCTGCAGTCAGGAAATATCCACGCCCTGTGTGCAGTAGCTGCTGCTTCTGTCAGGTTTTTTTTGAGTGGCTGAAAGTTTGGGTAAAGTGGATCAGATGAAAGTTCTGTGGATTTGGGAAGGGTTTCTGTAGATGAAAGGAGAAGAGATAGGATGGACTGGAGACTTAAAGCCAACATAATTACTTTTCCTGATTTGTGTTTCCTGAAGGTGGTCTGGAGCTCAAAGACAGAGTAAGGAGTTGGTGTATTCTGTGTCTTTGACTTTAATAACCAAGGAACTGTCTGAACTGCTGGCTAGGCTTCCTTTGCTGTGTTGGATTCCTGTTGCTAGGCCTTACTTACATTAACTTGTCAGATCCCTTTTTAAGTTGCACACATTTCTGGCATATCCGAGGTTTTCTGTGGAGATGAGTTCCCCATTTGGGTTATGCTGTGTGTTGTGTTCATGTGAGAGCACTCTGCTCCAAGGTAAATGCTTTCTTGTGCAGCAATATGCTGAATTACTTCCAAGTGTGACCCCACTGTAACTTTTTGTCCAGCATTAGTGAGATGGTGACATTTTAATCCTACAAATATGTGGAAGGTGCACAACCAAGAGAGGTGATAAAGCCTCACATTGCTATGGAGATGGGGTTGATTTTTTTAATATCAGATGTTGATTTTTTTAAAAATCAGATGTTTGTAAAGCCCCCTGTTTGATTTCTAGGTGGCTGTGGGAGCAGACAAATCTGCAGTGCTCTCCAATGTCATTGAAGAGCTGGTGAGGTTCCGCTCGAAGGTCCGGCATTACGCGCTGGCTCTGCCGGAAACAGCAGGAGCCGAGGAACCCAAGCAGGAGCAGAAGGAGAAGAGGAAGCAGTTAATGCAGGAGAGAAAGCCCCTCTTGGAGGCTTGTGACAGTCTGCGTGGAGACCTTGCTGCCTTTGGAATCCACATAAAGGTAGAAGACAGTAACCCTCTTTGTGAGAATCAGTCACTTTTTAAGATAAAACATATTTTTGTCCTTCATTCCCCTTCATGAGCTTGTGGTGTGGTGCCCTGCTCCCTGTGTGACTGCAGAGGAGGAGGTGGAAGTCAAGCCTTTGTTTGGCTATACTGCTGCCTTCTCTTCTGCTCCCCCTCAGCCTTGTGTCTCCATGCAAGCCACTCATAATATGAAAATCCCATGTTATTCAGAAATCCCTAAGTTTGCCCAAGTTCAGTCCAGAAGGAAGGGTGTGAGTAATGTGTGCAGTCTTAAAAAAAGATTGCAAAGGAACTGGAAAGTAAACCGAGTTGACTTGTGAAAATAATGCCTTCCTTCTACCTACCCCACACTGCCCACCAAAAATAAGTCTTCATTAGAAAGCCTCTTCCATCTTCAGTGCTTCATTTCCAATTGTTCCTGAGCCACAGGGACTTTGCCTGATTCCTGTACTGCTCCTCTCTCTATCTTTCTACTTTTAGCCTACACCTAATGCCAGTGTTCTTTCCCATTATCTCAATGGAATCTCTGGCTCGAGAGAAGACCCTCTATGGCATTACTGCCTTCTCCTGGTTCCAAGGACCTGCATTACTTCTTTAAAGTGCTACTTCTTCCAGTTCTCTTGGTCATTGCCCTTCTTGCCTCTGTGAGGCGAGGGTCAGCATTGCTCCTTGACGGCACAATAATCCTCCGCATTCTCTTCCTCCATCCAGTTCATACTGTTCATTTTTCCTTTCCTTGGGAACTGATGCTGGCAAGTCTGGTTCCATCGTTTTACCAGTGGGAGGATGGAAAGCACAATGACATCAGGGAGTGTCAGCACACATCCGCTCCAGCTGCTGAGCGTGAGGGCTGTCACTTGTCACCGCTCCTGTTGGAGCGGAGCGTGGTCAGCGCTCTCCTCTCCTGGATGACAGCGAGCGTGCCGGCAAAAACCGGGGTGAGGGCAGAGCGTGGTGGTGGTGGTGAGCTGCAGCTGTGAAAGGAAAGGGAAGCTGCAACATCTGCTGCCCTTAACTTGTTTGTAAATCCACACTACTCTCACCTGTCAAGCAAGTTTGCAAATCCAAACAACTGTGCTGAGACAGTCTTGGAGAAGCAGCCTGCCTTTTCATCTATTGGAAAAATGCTGCAGCTCCACCTCCATTCTTTTGCATATCTGTTTTTGTTTGTTTTTAAGGGGATTTACATTTAAAAACCCCACAAATTAGTTTGAGCCAAGATTCAAACCATTCCATTTATTTAAAAAAAAACTTAATGACCTGAAGCTCAGCATAAATGCACTTACGAGCACACACACAGCAAGCACCCGAAGCTGAACTCCTCCTTTTTTTGCTGATACTACTTGTGGAAGTAGTTGAAGGCGTGTTGTGAAGTTAGCTTACACCTTGCTTTTGCAGATCCCAAAGAATCCTGCAGACTGAGTAATGCAGCGCTGCAGTTCCTCACACTGGCTCACCAAAGCACATGTGCAACAAGACACAGCCTACACAAATCAGGGCTCTCAGCACCCTCTTGCTCATCATGAGTCTGCATGGCTGGGTCAGCTGATGCCAAAATGCCCCTGTAAAACAGCACCTAACAGGGGTCCTGCTTGCCTAATAATTGCTTGAGGAAGTTATGTGAATTTCTCATTTCTGCCCAGGCCCTCATGTCCACAAAATTTTTGAACCTCTCAGTGTGCATGCATTAATGCCAGCACGCTGCCCTCTGTCACGTGAGGCTCAAGCAAGCCAGCAACTCCTGAAGTCCATGTGCAGGTGGAAAAGCAGCAGAACAGATGAAGCAGACAAGCCTCAGCTCCATCCAGTGCAGACTGGGAACCCCTCTGGTTGGAGGCAGGGCAGGGAGAGTGTGGCTTGAATAGAAGCTTAATTTTCTTAAAAATCAGCTTTGTAGAAAGGGTAGTTTCTCCTTCAGGTTCTAGCTTGTCATTTCCCTAGTCTGGTTTCTTCTGTCAGGTTGCTCATTGCAAAGGATGTTGGCTGAAGTTACATATCTTGCAACAGACTGATTAAAAAAAATCCATGTCTTTTCTTGTCATTGTGGATGCTTGGAACCTATGGTACCAAGTAAAATGTGTTTAGGCATCAAAAAGTTTTCATTTTCATTTAGACATCAAAAAGTTTTCATTTTCATGTAAAAAAAGATTCAGCAATTCCAGTTGCTCTCATTAGTCAGTGCTCATGGAACGTTGTGTGTCAATGTTCAGATTAATTTTTATTTTCAACCATTGCAATCAAACAGCTGGTTCTAAATAGAATGTTTAATTTAGCTGTAATATTGCTGTTCAAAAATATGACAGTATCACATTACAGAGACAAAAACCAACAGGCTTCTGTCCTGAGTTCAGATCAAACACGTTCAGCAATGTATTTGTATGTATTGAGATTTTTTCTCAATATGAGACAGGAACATGAGCCATTGAGACTTGAAAAGACGATTGCATGAGTTGAGTGTAGCTGCTCATATGAAAGGCTGCACCTTGCTGCAGCATTCCACACTGAAGAGGTGACATTTCTACTCTGTATTTCTTTCCTCTGAGATAGGAAAAATTGTCTAGTTTTGTTTTACAACTCTGAACATTATCAGTAGCAGTGGCATTCCTGTGAGATTGTATTGCCACCTCTTTTGCTCAATTGGATGAATAGCTTTGCTGAGTGCGTGTTGGTTAAAAAACCTGTGATCCATTTGGGCAGGACTGACCTGCTTACTTTCTCTTACAGGACAGAGCTGCTGTTTCAACCTGGGAAATTGTGGAAGGAGGCCAGACAGAGAAGCAGACTGAGAAAAAAAGCTGATCCTTCATCCTTGGACTTGTTTTTTATTTCAGCTACTTCAGCAACTGTTGTAAATACAAATTCTTTCAAAATAAAATCTGTTGAACAGAATGGCTAAAAATGATAGCATGTAATTTGAGCAAAACTGTTGGCACTAGTACTTGGTAAATAAATACAGGCCTTGCAGCACAGGTGGTGGGAGCATCCAGAATGCAAGGCAGCACAGGAGCAGCTGCACTGATTTAACACCATGAGGCATGGGTCTGTTCTACTGCAGGAACTGCCCCAGACCAAAGGCTCGTCATCTGCCTTCACCCCCTGTTGCTGACCTGAGGCAGAGTTTAAACATAGGGAGGGCAGAGGCAAGAACTTAGGCCTGTCTTTAAGGTGAAAACATTTAAGTTTTATGCTTGTTTGTCTGACAGTTCTGTTCCTTTCAGACATAGGAATGGGGGGTACTTTTAACCTTGAAGTATTTCCTTATTGCAGTGGTGCTGCTTTGATCCTGTGAAACCTTTACCTGTAATAATATGGTGTCCAGTTACCTGTAAGGCTTGGTACTTCTGTTTGCTTTTGCACAGCATACAAGATTTCTCTAGCACTGGGCATGTAGCATGCTCAGGATCTCTCCAGAATTGGGAAGATAAAATTAGGATGTATATGTATTAGTATAAAGTGAGTTTAACCTGTTCAGTTACCTTTTTGCTGGCCATGGCTGCTGTGTCTGTGGGCAGAGCCTCTCTTACACCTGAGGTGACCTGTGTTCTAGGGCCTGTGTTGATACAGGGCTGGTACTTACCTGCTATCTCCACTTTCTTTAAATCAATTTACAAAGACATAAGAACCAAGACCATGGGTTCATCTACAAGGCACGTGTGTGTTTTCAAAGTATCTGTTCAAAAGGATAAAGGCTTTCTTTTATACTGTTGAGAATGAAATGTGTAGCTCTTTTTCTGCTACATTATCTGTACTTCCAGAGAAGAGTGGGGTGTCTCTTCATTCAGCACTGGGGCACAGGTGCTTATTTGACACAGCTGGTATTGTACATTTGTTCATGGCAGTGTTCTAGCAAAACAGAGCTAATGGTGAGCAGCAGCTCAGCTGCTGTAGGAAATGGGATCAGCACACACCAAACAAATTCCAGTCAATTGCTATTATTTTTATTTCCTACCAAAAGAAACTGCTACATTTCCAGAATGTTTAAAAATTGTAACAATTCATATACATTAGTGAATAACAGAGTTACAACTTCTGTGTAGCTTTAAAACCAACAGGGCAAGTTGAAATCTGTACTGAGCTGTTAATTGATTGACTTTGCCTACATGTCATTTAGTGTATAATACCACTGATATTCTAACCACAAGAAAAAAAATCACTTATTATAAAGGCAGTAGCTGTTTTAAAATCAGTTTTAACTTTCTGATTTCATTTAAAAGTAGTCAGGTTTCTCAAATACATTTAAGGGGGGGAAATAATAGCTTAAGTTTCCCCAAAGATGCAGACAGTTTACAAAACTGCTTAAATTAAACACTAAAACCTCATTTCTTAAGAGTAGTCTGTGAACCCTCATAGAGCAACACAAGCAAACACTTAAAAACCTATTTTAAAAATAGGTAACTGGTTTAAAAAGAAAAAGAAAAATGCATCAGGGTGAGGTAGTAGTCACAGTGCATCCATAAATACCAACTCTAAGGGCTGAAGGAAAATACTTGGAGTAGCCTTTCTGATTCTGGGTGCTTTCTGCAGGCAGCTATTGCAAGGAATGAGAACAGTCTGAGTGGTCTGGGACACCACATTCCAGCTGGGAGCACTGCAGGGGTGGCTGTGCTGAAAGGCAACATCCCCTGCAGGAACCGGATGCGTTACATGCTTCTTCCGGCACTACAATGAGCAGCAACGCTTGGAGCTGGATTGGAGGGTCAAGGGCAGCACCCATTTAAATTTTCTTTGCATGAACTTGCCTCCCTCTCCAATCGGGTTCAGTCTCTACAAGCTTTGACTGAATCTCCAAAAATTTAAGGAATGGTCCTGTGCAAAAGCCCACAGAAGTTCTGCTTTACACCTAATGCTTGCCTGCTCTGCCAGTGCACCAGATCAGTGTCTGTCTGTCCTACAAAGATCAAGTAAAAGCCGCTATGCTTTTTGCTCTAAAAGCTCCTGCTTTTTGCAATACTAAGTACTGCTCCTGAAGCTCAAAGACCGACCACCGTATTTCTGTTCCTGCCTTTGACCTGCAGCACATGCTGCCTGCACTCTGCTCCGAAGGTACAGGTACGAGCCGTGGGCTGCCTTTTGTTCCTTCAACTTGTATTCCCGCTGGCTCATCGCTGTCCACCTACAGATCTGTGTGCTGGGCTGCTCTGAGCTCTAACCCAGCAGGCAGCTGGAATTCTAGAAGCTCTTCACTCTTCCATGATCACTGAGAGCTGAACAAGTTCTGCTGGGTATCACCGAGTTTCGTGCCCCACCTAGTACCTCTCCAAATGACAATTTCACAAGTTCATTATATTCAGTCAAGACCAGATAAAGAAACACAAATTTATTTCTTTTCCAGGTAAGCCTAATTATTAACGAATTTTACTGCCAAGATACCTACAGCGTATCTCTATTTCGCCAAGGGGGAACCTTTTAAAAAAACTAACAAGACACTGCAGGAAGGGATGCCTTGTCTAAATGAATGCTGCCTCTAGGACCAGGAATGGGAAAAGGCAACTAATTACATTCAAAATCTACAGCAACTCTCATGCATTCCCTTTCCAAAGAGGCTTACTTTTTGCTTCTTACTCTACTAGCATAGCAAAAAATGAAGTGCAACAGCTAATTCTAGACAGAGGGTCTAAGAATGACAAGTGACAACCTTGGTGAAATCCAAGAAATTCAGAAATTCAGTTGAGCTGGTGGAAGAATTTTATCTAAGTATCAAGTGCATTTTTTTTTTTGCTGTTCAGACTTTAGTTATTGCTCAATAACTATCAAAAAGAACAGAGGAATACTTTCAGTTTAGTTTTATTATATTATAACAGATCTGCAACTACAGCTTATTTCAGCCAAAACATTTTTGTATTCCAAACTCTTAAAAAATATCTACATTAATCATATTTTTCTATTCTTAAAAATAAAAAAATCTACCTAACATACCAATGCTGCTACAGCACTTGAAAGGGTGCATTATGTAAATTCTACGGTACATGTAATTACTCTTGCAGTCATTGTTCTTTTCTTCTTTGCTGCTTTGGCTTCAGGTTTCAAAAAGTTTGTTAAAAGCTGTTCCAACTTCTGAAACCATGTCAGAGGCTGTCATTGAACGTCCGAATTTCTGAAAGGCTTGGTGGTTAGACTGCCTCGTGAGAGAGCAAGCTCCAAATGCAGCCACTAGAAAGGGATTTTGACTGAAAGGAAGAAAAAACCAAAAAACAACATTATAAAGAGAATCCCAACACTTCTGTGCAATCTATGAGGTGGTGGACATCATCTTTATACCCGTAAATGTTAGCAGCGCCAGGAAGGCCTCTTAAGCAAACATGCTCTCACTCTTGCACTGCAGAGCATCTTCATCTGATTTTTCTGAATCAAATACTTCCCTACCCATGGCATGGCATGTGACTGAGTGAGAAACACCACCAGGGCCAAAGCACCCAAAAGGCCAACAGGCTTAAAAAGTGGAGAAGGTGTTCTGCATCTAGTTTTACTGATGTGAAGCTTCATGCTTTCCTTCAGAGGAAGACCGAAGGCTCACCTGACAGCCTTTCAGCCCCCTTTCCTCTCCATTATCTGGGTAACTCCATTTAGTTTTTGTCTTGCAGCGTGGGGGAAGGTCATGGGGCTGCAGACAAGAAATGATTTTCATCAGGGCCATAGAGACTGCTCCAGGGCCTTCACTAGATCGGCTTAAAAGGGGTACAGTGGCAAGTGAAGACCACAACACAAGCTAAAGCACTGCTGTAATGCCTCTTCACACTTACGAACTGCCCACAAGTGTGTACCCAGACCCAGATCTGTAATGCTGAACCTCCCCCAGAGCACAGTCCAGAGCCATCTCCACCTTTCACCTCCAGAGCATGTTTTCATAGGCTGCTTTTCATAAGCTGCCTTAAAACAGAAAACAACTGCAGAATAGTTCAGCAGCCAGTGCTGTGCTTCAGGTCTGGCAGATCAAAAACCTCACAAAGCTCAGACTCAGCTGAGCATTGCTGCCTGGAACACACTGAAGACCTCCTGACTCCTCTGCCAATTGAGAGTTTCTTAGGATCCCAATGTAAAACACAGACAAAGCAGGACATGACTTTACAATTAGATGCTACCTAAGCAAAATTTCCATGTACTCATCAAGGTGCAGGTGTATTTAAACCACCTTGAGAGTTAATCCTTGATGCCCAAATACTGCTGTGAAACAAGAGCTATGTACAGGCTCCTGGGCTCAAGGAGCTAAAGCACCAAACACATCAGCATCCTCTCTACTCAAGTGAGGAATCCTACCTACTGTACCACTAGCACCCCTGAAAAGCCAGTGCAATCTCAGTGTTTGAAAACCTCTCTGTACAGAGCCATTCTGAAACGCCAGAGCCAGGCACAAGCTGGAAGGACTGGCTGGGCTGCCTGCAGTGCAGTCTCCGAACAGATGCCCTGACTCACTGAACCCAAAAAGCTCCTCCTTTCCTGCAACACATGAGACAGGCAGGATTGGTACAGCAGGTGTCTGTGAAGGGTCACCTTAACACCACTGCAGGAGACACAGTGCATTGCTGATGCCAATTAATACTTTTCCTTCATCTATAAAATAAAGGAGATTCTGAGTGAGCTGTTTAGAAAAGCCAGCCACAGGAGCTCAAGTCAGGAGAGCCTGGAAAACACATGCTGTGTTTGCTAATCTCTCCAGCAATTCAATACTGCTGTGCTGTACCCCATGCAAAAATGAAGTCACTCTTTTAACAACTTAAAACAGAATTCCTCCTTTAGTGGCAGCTGCAAATTCAGATACCCAGAATGACAAAGGAAACCAAGATTGTGTGTGTTAAGATTTTAGAATTCTGAAGCCTGGGGCACCTTGTGCAGTGCCCCTGTGGTAACACAAACACAGCCTGGATAACTCCTGGGGACATCTGATACTATGCACATGCAGCAACCCAAAGACTACAGGTCTCCACTCCTCAAGCTTCCACAGCTCCTGACTTACTGAAAAGAGTAACTCCCTGACTGCTTACATTCCTTTCAACTTTATTTGAAGCTGATGCTTTCACAGAAAGACTCCATGACTATCTGAACCAGCTAGTTCGGCAGGAACTGATGTAATTTAACTAAAAAGCCAAAAGCCATCTGCATGGCTGCTTTATGTACAACCAAAGTGGACTGCCATTTGGCCTTAAAAGATTTACTCTCTTTGAAGTTGTATTTTATTTGCAAGTTTCAACATACCTGCCCCACTGAATTACATAGCCACAATGCAGGAGGATTCACCAAAATAGAAAAAAACAAAGCCAAACAACATGTCTTTTGAATTACAGAGATGTTATTGCCAATGACTACCACTTATTTATCCTTTCTACTTTCTGCCTACATTCAATTGTTTTGAAAACACATACCTCATACATAAATGTCCTTATGAACAGATCCAGAGGCTCTTCTTCTGCCCCAGACTTGGGAGATGTTAGATTACTGAAGGGTTTGTCTTACTATAATTATTACTGTTATGTAGACTGCTCTAGAACACTCTTTTTAAAAGTACATGGATATTTTCTTACCAAAATCTCCAATTCCACTTGGAAATTTATAAAATAGCAGGTCTACGACAGTTACCATATGTGAACACAGACTCACAGCAATAAGTGATTAGTTAATATTCATACCCATTTGTTTTTTCAGCTCCAGCAACAAATGCCCAGTGTGCCAAGACTCCAAGAGAACCAGAAAGGAGGTCCCCCTGTCCACCACATCTCCGGCTGCTTCCTTCGTGGCTGCACACAAGTACTGTGAACACACAAACCAAAACCAGCGTCATGTGCTTTTATCCCTCTGTCTGCAATGACAGCACTGCAGCTGCAAGGGCCACCCTCTGAGGCACTCAGCAACTAACAGGTGGGAGACTTAACACAGGCAGCAGAATACGCTGAAATACGCTGTTCTTTAAAAAAATGCATTAACATTTTTAAAAATACCTTTCTCATTATCTTTTAATCCTTTGCACATAACATTGCAAAATGCACACACTTTTTCCACTTCACTCAGCCTGCACAGGTGAGTTTAGTTATTCATGTGGCATCATGAGCCATCACCCCAAACTGATCCAGATCTTTCCACAAAGCCATTGCACAAACGTAACTCTTCAGTGTCTCTGACCTTCAGAGTCTGCCAATGTAAACCAATGTGCTTACAAAAAGCAAATGCAAAACAGAACTAAAATCTCAAATGTTCTACCATATCCATCACAAAAATATTTTATTGAAACAGCCCTTTCCTTAGGCTTTGTAAAAAGCACATGCAAGACAGATTTATTTTTGTTCTGCCAATCGACAGTGTCCTCACCATCCGTGTATGTTTCTGTCAGCAGTGTCACTGTGGAGAGGCTGTGTCAGGATATCAGATGTTACATTTCTATTTTAAATATACAAAGGACCTTGATCAAACTGATCTCTTTGTGCAGCTTTAACTATGAGGAACACACAAATGGTTTCACTACATTTAACTCCTTTGTTCTCCACTCTCAACAAGCCCAAGCAGGAAGCCTGGAGGACATATAAGGCACATAAAAAGAAAACAGCATCAATTCTGCTACCCTTCTCCAAACTCTCTTGTGGGTATGTACCTACCCTTAGCTTTTTTTCTTGCTTGGCTCTGAAAAAAAACAAAACCCAGGAGAAATTTATTTTCCTCTCCTAGGAGGATAGCGGAACCATGACTGGCCAAGTGTGATCCTTAGCATCTCCAGTGAGCTACTGCAGGATTCAGGACTGTGCACACAATCACTTGTGTGCTGCTGAGCATGCCAAATATACAAGCAAAGGATAAAGCAAGGCCAGGCATTGCTTGGACAACAGCTCTTACCTCAAGCCTGGGCTTTCTCCAAAGAGTACAAACACAGCAGCCCAGGTGTTTTAGAGGGAGTGCTGCCCATATTTTTAACATTTGAAAAAGTTTTTCTTCTCAAACTAAAGGAAAAAAATTGCACAGAACTGAAGGACTTGCAGATACATCTTCCTAACTCGCAAGTAAAAAAACTACATAATGCCAATAAATCCCTTCCAGTTTGTTATGTGCAACAGCAAAGAATTGTTCTTCACTTCCATTTCCTAGTAATCCTTCCAGCAGTAATTGTGGGTCTCACAAGGCCAGGCAGTTGTGCGTGTTTGCTGCCACTGAGAGGGCAAAGATTCATTAGTCACCACGAGCACAGAACACACCACTGCAGCCTTGCCAGCAGTTCATTTTCCCAATCACTCTTCTCCCCTTCCCCCTCCCCCTTTCAAATTAAGATTCTGGATGTGTTTCTCAGTGAGCAGTAGCTAATGTCAAATTTCACAAGTGTAATGCCCTTCTGAGTTAGCTATCTGAAGAAGGTATGCCCTTTTAGGTGGAGTGATTCATTCTTATTTTTATTTCAAATGCAGTGCTTTGGAGAAATTACCTCTAATTCTACTACTTTGAAGATGCTATCTCACAGGATTTTCACTTTGAGGGCTTGAACTCCTGGCAGGAGGCAGGATGGAAATCCTCTGTTCAAAAGCTTTGGGGCCTTCTGACTGACAGCTGAGCACAAGCCCCTGCTTATTAGCTGTATGTCACCATCTGCCACTATTCTGTAGCCCCACAACCTTCCAGTCACTTTTGAGCTGTACAGGAAAGCAAGATCTCAAACTAGGCCAATTATAATACTCTGCTAAAAAAAAAAAAAGAAAAGAAAAAAAAAAAAAAGAAGTGGTCTTTTGTTTGTGGTTTTAAAAAGTAAGTCTCAAACATGTGCAGACTACCTCACAGGCAACAACAAAAGCAGACCTTTGTACTCTGCACACAGATGCCGGAAAACAAATCCTTGGAATACCTTCAAAGAACCAGAACTAGAGGAAATTCACTTGAATGAGGAGGGAGATATAACACAGTTCTTGTGCAGAGGCTCGGCTGATCAAAGAACATCTCAAAACAAAAGGATGATGAACATGACGACAGGCGATGGGAAAAGGATTTAAAAGCACTTCTGAATTACAGCCATTATTAAGAGCTTTTAAAATGTAAGAAAGAATTCCACAGTGGCATCAAGACAAACCGCCATACTGCCGAATCAACATGGGATGCTTTTCTCATCCTTCTAGAACAGCAAAACAAAACTGCTGTCTTCACACTCTGCCAGTGCAAAATCCCCCACTGCATGTGTGAGCCCTGCTGTGACGACAGTTCCAGCTGCTCTTTTAGGACCATGGGGGTGATGCCTTTACATTGCACTGAGCAGTCACAACCAGCGGCACTGTTACAAGACCTCAATCAGCTGGACGTGGCTGAATAGTCAGCTATGATGCCAAGAAGGTGGGCAGCTCTGCTCCCTGGAAACATGCACAAAGCTCTGCTTACGTGAGGATGAAGCTGGTTTTGATGTGTTCAGTGAGGCATGTTCAACTAGGGACGGGCATGTACATCAGCAAACATAGAAAACAAGGCTCTTGGAAGAGCTGAGGAGACCAAGACGACTGCATGTGGGACAACAAGGAAACTACAAAGGCTGAAATCACCACAGTGTGTCAATTTTGAAAAGGCAGCAGCCAGGGCCACTTAAGGTCAATTAGTTTGACACCAGTTTGAATCAAAACAATGGAGAGGTTCAGTTATAGTTCCCTGACAGAAACACACAATTAATGCTGGTCAAGGTGCCTGTTACAGCAGGATGTCTAGTTCTGTCTTCTAACAGGTCTGAGCAACCCAATCTGATGTCATTATTTCTCAGGGTAATGAATCAAAGAAAACCCACCCCAGTATAAGTAGCAGACAGTTTTTTATGAAAGCTGATCTATACCAAGTAAATCTCGGGGAAATAAAAAAAATTACCCAACTCCCTAGCACTTATCCATGCAGCACACATATACTATCAGAAGAAAAGGCTAGATGAAATAAAAATGTCATCACTGAAGAAATGCCTGCAAGGAGATCTGCTAGAGTCAGAACAGCCACAGTCCTATCCAACAGTTTCAACACAATCTCAGCAAGTAATCATCACATAAATATTGCCAGAGCTTTAGGCAGCAAATACAACACGTCCCTCACATATAATCACATGGATTCCTTGTGTACCTAAACCCATGGAAATAATTTGTACTGAGTGCAACAGGAACAAAAAACTGAAGGCTGTCACACTGATAGAATATTGTAAAGTAAAATTCAGGAGTTTTAGGCTTCAAACAATTCAAAACTCTGCCCCAGACTTTCTGGGTAACTATGGCCAAGTTATTTAGTAGGTCTATGTTTAAGATATCTTCAAGTAGTGCTGAAAAGGGAGTGATGGTAAGATACACATTAATATTTGTGAAAGCATTCAGACCATGGTGACACACCTAGCTGTATCATTGCCAAGTTTTAAGCTGAAAGAACTCCCAGCCCAAATTTTGCTGCTGCCAAAAGTCCAGAATTACCTATTTATGGGTATTGTATGCTTAATTAAAAAAACCAAAATACAAGTCTGTTATATAATTGAAAATAGCTGTTCTTTCTTTGAAGGAAAAAAAAAATCAGAATGCAGTAGTTTTGCCGACTTCAAGCACTACAAGTTAACTGGGAAGCACAGATTTTGATATGGCTGTATCCAGGCAGCACCATTTACAATGCCAGCTCCCAGATACATCACAGTTAGAAAACTAAAGTTTTTCTAACTACAAAAGACTGTGTGTGTCTGCTTGTTCCTGATTCACCGTGTTCACCCAGTAGTGAAAAAAATAAATTAATCTCTGGGGTGGTTTTTACTTTTGCATTTAGAGCATGGCATGTGAAATATAGGATAGTTTAGGTGTTCTGATGATGGTCAAGAAGGCTGAAGAGCCTACGTGAAATATCACATTTATTGAGATGGCAGACTGAAAGACTGGAGATTTAAATTTAACTCCTGAATCTCAGATGTCCTGAACAAATTCCTTGCACTTGTTTTCCTCTTACAGAGGAGAAGTATTACACACCCTAATGTGGTCAGGAATCCATGTAGGAGACACCACCATTCTAACTTCTGATACAACCCAACTGGATCAAACAGCTAAATCCACCCCACACAACAAACACACTCCAGTTTCATTAAAAGGCTTAAGATTCCCATTTTCTATGCAAATAATGTAGCTACCAAGAATAATTTTGCCCCATCAATGCAAGATTTAGACCAATATCAGATTTTTAGTAAAATCTCTTACCAACACACATCTCTGACCTAGCATGTATTTATACTAGTAAGAAATTTATCTTTTTCCTTTTGCAAATTAGCTCACAAAACCAAATAGCTGGAGATCATGGATTCCCAGGAACATGTCCCAGAGTGCATACAGACAGGGAAACCAAGTTTAATGACTCTGGCTGAAGAAACAACTCAACTGATGTGGAAAATGTAAGTTGGCTTTTATATAAAGGGTGCTTATACTTTTTTATTCCCTAATCACACTTTTAAAACTTAGGTAAGTCCTTGAGTGCGACACAGCAGCCAATTTAAGTTGAGATGAAAATTACCCACATTTTCCATTAGTTTTGTTGGATAGGCACAGGAGCCAGGGGCCAGGTGAACAGTGCCAGGGAGAAGCTGGCTGGGCTGCACGTGCCAGAGACAGCACAGTGGCACCCAGGACAGGAACCATCACCTCCCCAGTTATGCTCATTCTGCAGAAAGCACCACTGGAGACAAAGGTGCTGCCTCTCAGTTATAAATCTCTCAGTTATATATCTAGGTGAGATTTGCTCAGCAGCTGTGAGTGAGCCAGGCAGTGACAAGCACTGAATAGCTTCCATTCCAGCTGTGTGGGGAGATGAGTGGCTGGAATTAGAAGCACTACTTGGGGACTTATGGCAAGAGTTGGCTTTTTACCCCATAGCCAGTACTTAGAATTCTGCCTCACATGCTTCCTTGAGTCTTTTGACAATAGCTGCACCTGAGCAACTGGACAGAAACCAAATTTGGCTACTGGTTCCAGGTAGAAGTAGTCCTAGGTAGCAGCAAGATGGTTCCCATGAAGCCTGCCTTTTGGAAGGGAGGGTGGTCAAACACAGAGAAACTCACTATAATGTTTAAAAGCCAAAATCCAAGCACTATAATTCAAGGACCTAACCAAATTTTAAACATGTTAGGAACTAAGGCTGGTATAACCACGCTTTATTATTGACCAGTTCTCCAAAGAATAATAAAAAGATAACCTTAGAGAGCTGTGCCATAGTGAATAAAAGCTGACTTACCTTTTACCCATAGGCTGAGTACTCATTCCTACCCTGGTCAGTGATGGCACTGATATCACCTACCAAGAGCATGGTGAAGCTCATCTTTGTAGAGCAGGGAATCAACAACTGTAGACCAAGCTATAATGTGAAATTGCAAAAGGAAAGAGAAAAAGAGTATATAAAACTTAATTTAAAATCTCGGTGATTACGTTTACAGGCCAATTGGCAGCTCACTACTGAAATGGAGACAAATTTTAAAAAAACCTCCTTTGTACTGGAGGGCTGCTACTGCTTTCACAGAGGACAGAATGTGACTTTGAGGCCATCTAGTCTGATCTGTGAAAACAAACTTTAGCGGTATCCAGACACTTCAAAGTTTGTAAATCTAGCAAAGTTTCAGATATGTGGCTGTACTAGTTAATTGTCTAAATCTTACTTTGAATTTACTAAACTTCAGCTTCCAATCAGAATTTACTGAACCTCTCTGTGTAGATTACAAAGCTTTTTGCTGAGAGTAATTCTTCAGCAATACCTGACACCAAATCACCTGGTAACCCCTTCTGTCTTCAGGTAGCAGAAGTAAACTGTCTACTGCATTTCCTACAGACTCATGAATAAAACTACTGTGAAAATAACCACTACAATCACTCTAAGCTATAAAGCATTCAGAAACATTATCTTTCCTACTGCAAAATTTGTCATCTTCAGAAAGTCTTCCTTCTTCAACAACTAAGCATAAAACACTAAAGTTACGCAGTTAAGTCTGCAATTTCTGAATTTCTGGTTTTCCTGAGACTTCCTTTTTCTTTTTTTCTTTTTTTTTCTTTTTTTCCTGGAAAGCACACATGCAGTATCTTCCCAAAGGAGAAAGTTTAAAAGTAATATATGCAAACTACAGTGTCAGTATGCTGAACACAGGAGGTCAAACAGGAAATGCCTAATAGGTAGGGCTTAAGCACTACAAATGGATGATGACATGACAAATGAAAGGCAAGAGGAGTACACAGATCTTTTCATAATGTTTGATTGTGCTCAGAGGACACTGGCCTGATCCAATAACCTCGGATTTCCCTGATGTATGTAGTCTCAGCTGAAAAAAAATGACATCAGATCAAAAGAAGAGACAGATGAAAAACAAGAGCAAAAAAACCCGAAAAATTCAAGGTCAATGACAGGACAACATATTCCATGTTTGCCACAGAGCACACAGAAGAATCTCCTTTCTCAATGTAATTTTGCATTTGAGAAGCTTTTAAAAAAAGTGACCAGCAGATCAGACCCAAAGAACATTGTTAAAAGGAAGGTGAAGTCTGTAGCTTCTGCAAAATTCTCAAGAACATCCTTCAAAGTCATGCAAACTCTAAAACCAGTTCTTGTTACAGACATTACAACCTGCTTTCTCAGCTCAGCAATGCTGCCTGTAATGTCTGTAATCCAACAAAGCACCAGTGATAACACCAAAGTAAAAACAAGAAAGCAGCCTGTAGCTGGACATCAATGAACTACTATAAAGGCACAGAACTGTTTTTATTTCAAAAACAAAAGCCACTTCACTAGTAGAAGAAAATACCAGAACACAACAGAAACAAATAACAAGGTGGGGAAAAAAATAAAACCAAGAAAAAGCCCCAAAAGCATACAAGACATACATGAACTTGTGCCACATATGAACATTCAAAATTGAAACTGGAAAGAACTTCACTTGTTTCCTGTTTTTTTTTAAATCCTGCATGACAAGAGACATTGGAGACCTGCCTGGTCTCTCCAGCAGGTGTGGGGATACACTTATCTCAAGAGTTCAAAAGGAGAACAGACATATACTAGATAATGTACTCAATCTAAAGTGCTCACCCAGTCTTCCCAACGTTCATTTAAAAAGCAACAATCCTGTATAAAAAGAATATTGTTGACATAAAAGCAGAGGAAGAAGACAAATACAATGCTCTAAAGCTCTCTAGCTGGCATAAACTGGAGTCAAGACATTTTATCCTCCAGCAGAGTTCATCCACCCTTCAGCCTGGCCTGACTGTCATGGTTACAAATCAAGTCTGCTGTGGGTGCAAATATGACAAAAAATTCTTCCTGTGGGGAAAGCTGGGGACTGTGTGAGGAAGGTCCTTTCCCACACAGATGTCACCATATCGCTCCCAGGTCCCACTTGTTGCACAGTCTGTTACAGCATCTGCCCCAACGGGGTATGTGAAGGTGGCTCTGCACAAACCAGTCATCATATTACATCTGCTTTTCTGTTATAAAAGACCTCCATGGCTCCCAGTAATGAAAAATTGGCTGTATATACAAAACAGTTCTTAAGCAGCATAAACATTTATCAGAGATTAGCATTTCAAGTAATTAAAAGCAGAGCTGCTGCTTGTTATGTATGTGAAATAAGACCATGCAGGCAAAATGTGACGAAGGCACTCGTGAATTAATTTTATACTGATCACAGTACATGATCAGTATAAAAAGCATCAGACAAGCAGCTAATTTTATTAAGTATACTTTAAACCATATTGGTATGAGACTGTTGTAATGGCAATCTAGAATTAATTTTTAATTTGTCAGGGCTGCTGTGAAGTTACATATGTATAAGCTAATCTGCAGCCCCGTGATGGACAGCACCAAGGAACTGAGCAGGTCATGAGCCTTAAGACATCTTCACTTCTCACACACACTGATACATCCTGAACTAACAGTATTATTTTGTATCAATTTAGCAATTACAGCTGCACTTATATAAAACAACTCAATAAAGAACTTTCAAATAGTTCACAAAGATTAAATAATCAATTTCTCAATACCCATGTAATGTAAAATATAACATCTATAAATGCAAAATAAAATCATCAACTCTTTTCAGCAAATAAATTTAGTTGCACTGTTACGGTATTGATTTACAGAAATCTTCTAAAGGTGATCAGCAAAGGCAGCAATCCCTCTAATCTTCAGGGGAATGCTGCCAATTGCCATACACGCTACTGGACTCTGACTGAAAGCAAACAGAACAGAAAAGTCACATTGCTAAAAGCAGAAGGCTTCACTTACCCTTCTCTCCATCTGAAATAAGATCTCTTTCTCCCTTTTGCACAACTGTCAAATTCCCCATGGCTTGGCTGAGTCTTAGCACACATCCATGATGATCACTACTGTCTACGGGGTCTCTAAGCTACAACACAAGAATTCCATACACAGTACATATTTTGCTACTAGAACAACATATTCTAACACATGCTAGTTATATATGCATGGGGAAAAAAAGGAGCAACATCATCAGTCTTTCTGTGTATTTTTTTCTATACTCACTGCAATGTTAAAAAATGCAAAATGAAAATGGGTCTTTAAAAAAGAGCTCAGTTTAAAAATATGCATTGCTGTGGCAATCATCCCATGAAATAATAACCCAGAAAGTGTTTCTCTCATATACAAGAAACAGTACATAATATTTAAGCCAGTAATAAGTTACTTATTTTCAAGGACAAAAAGACAAGCAGCTCACCATGGCTTCATACAGTCTACTGAACTCCATATAGTTTGGAGTAAGAATAGCTCGCTGGTAGCCTTGAATAAGAGAAGGCTGCTGGGAAATGAGCCACAGTCCATCCTGCAAAACACAGTAAGAACATTTACTGAATAGGTTCTTAAATGTTAAACCACTGACTGAAATAAAGAAAATACTTACTGCATCAATAATGATAGGAATTCCTTTCACTTTTGATTTCTCTATAATACCCTGCAAAAGAGGCAGATACTTTTAAGATGCTTGTTACTTTAGATTTCATAAGATCCAAACCAAATTCATACAACAAATCTGACCATGCAAGCTGTTTTTACAAAGTGATAGAAAAAAAAATCTGTTATATTCTGCAAACTAATGTAGAACATTTTCATATCAGCAGGTAATTTTACAGTCAGAATCTTTTCTCCCTGGTTTAAGTGTCCACAGAGCTGGTATGTGTATTGTGTACTCATGGCAAGGTTTTGGGAGGGGGAAGAGGGGCTACAGAGCTTCTCTGAGACACTGCGGGAAGCTTCCCTCATGTCCAACAGAGGCAATGCCAGCTCCAGGACAGTCCTGCCACTGGCCAAGCCAAGCCCATGAGTGACAGTGATGGGATCATAGATTTAAAAACAGGATAAAGTAACTCTGCTGAATCAACTGCAGCCAGAGAAGAGAGGAGTGAGAATATGTGAAAGCTACAGCCTTGCAGACATGTGAAGGAGGAAGAGGAGGTGTTCCAGGTTCTGGAGCAAATTCCCCTTCAGCCTGTGGTGCAGTTCATGGTGAGGCAGCTGTGCCCCGGCATGCCCATGGAAATCCACAGGGGAGCAGAGCAGGTGGATGCCCAAAGGGGGCTGTGACCCCACGGAAAGCGTGCACTGAAACAGACTCCTGGTAGGACCTGTGGCCCCATGGAGACAGGAGCCCACAGTGGAGCAGTCTGCTCCTGAAGGACTGCACCCCATGGGAAGGACCCATGTTGGAGCAGTTTGTGAAGAACTGCAGTCCATGGGAAGACCACTGAAGAAGTTTGTGCAGGACTGTCTCTTGTTGGAGGGACCCCGTGGTGGAATAGGGGAAGAACGTGGAGACCTACCCCCAAGGAGGAAAGAGCAGCAGAGACAATTTGTGATGAACTGACCAGAGTACCCATTTCCCAACCCCCTGCACCATTGACAGCAGGGAAATGAACAATTTTGGAGTTAAATTAGCCTGGGGAGAAGGGAGGGGTGGAGGGAAGGTATTTGACCTTGGTTTTATTTCTCATTATCCCACTCTGATTTCATTTGTTGTAAAACTCAATTAATTTCCCCAAGTCAAGTCTGTTTCACATACTTCAATATAACAGTAACTGGTGAATGATCTCTCCTGACCTTATCTTAACTCACAAGTCTCTTGTTGTATTTTCTCTCCCCTGTCCAGCTGAGGAGGGGAGTGACAGAGAAGCTTTGATGGGCACCCAGCACTCAGCCAGGGTCAACCCACCACAACAAAGCAATCTCACCCACTCTGCCTGCTGTAGGAGGCATGTAATGCCAACACAAATCACACATAGTAAACATACATCTCCAATTAAAATAAAACCAGAAAAATCCCAGGGAGTACTGCCTTGATAGAAATCTACCAATAACTATAGTAACTAACTTCAGTTGCTTTGCTGCTGACAGCCCCACTGCAGGATTAGTTTATGTACAAACAAACATCTGAGACGAGCAGTATGTATGATGTCATTTCACCTGTGGGTCTGGAGGTTTCATGCTTTGAAAGCAAAACCAAGGTGGCCCAGACAACAGACCATTTGTAAAAGTGTTCTTTCTAGCAAGCAGTATCTCTGAGCAGACTGTCTGCCCTTGTTCTCTCCTAACCCAGCAGCAGCAATGACTGATCCTCAGGCTTTTTAATGAACAGTGGCCAACAGTCAAGTTTTCTTCAGCACTGGTTATTACCAACTCGTCTTTGAAGCTGGAGGGTTTATCTTTTTCCTGTACAAGATAACAGAGCATGGTATCCATCTGAAAGTTTAATTAATTTTGAATGTTATTAAGCTCTTCAGATTAGCTATCATACAGCACTGAGCTTCACAGGTTAGCAAGACATGATGTAAGGAATAAGAAAGCAGTTTTTAATTAATATTCAGGGTACTGAACATCTCTCTTTTCTTGTATAGTGGTCAAAATAAACACCACCCACCTCAGTCCCTGTAAATTATTACATATGACATATACATATCCTCACAAGCATTACTACCTGACTCTGCTTTTTCCAATACCAATGGAAAGTATTTCCCTTCCATTTTCTTTGTTGGGCACTGTCTGCAGTTTGGAAACATGAGACTACCCACTGCTCCAAGCCTGAGGACTTGTTCCAACACACAGCTGTGGCTACAGCAGAAGCTACTAGAGAACAGAAACCTTCCCAACAGAGACCTGCACAACTTGGGCTGTGTGTCAGACTGCCAGCTGCCCACCTCCTTTGAGATCCCTAGGGAACACCACAGAGTCTTCTCTTATACTCAGCTACCTGAATAATTCTGAACCAATTGCAAGTACAAGTTTTTACACAACTCATATGGTTCAGCTACTGCTAAGTTATTCAAATTTACTGGTAAGCACACTTAACAGCTGTGTGAGGATGGAGTCCTGCAATTAACTGTGACATTCTGAAAACCAGAGTAGCTTACTATCAAAGCTTTCAAGAAATATATGAGAGTAATTTCTTAATTCATACATGTTAATCTGCACAGATGTGCACAGCTCAGTTTTCCTTCACAGAAGCTGCATTGCTTTGCCCCTACTGTGTTACGTTCATTAACAATTATGTTTAACTTGGCTCACTTTGTAACAATAAAACAAGGCTGTGGATCTAGCAAGCAGATTTTGTGTTTGCTGTTTGTATTTTCCTTGTATGAAGGCATGTTACAGATCCAACAGCCCAATTATTTTTGAATGATACTAAGCTCTTCTGATTAGATATCATAGGGCACTGAGAGCCAGACCTCAGCAAGATCATCCTCCCCCAGTCTTTGAAGGTACAAATACCTTTTGCTGCAACCTGGTTTTCTAACTGGTTAGAATATTTTTGTACATCAGCAGCTTCACCAAACTCCTTCAGTACACTTAAAATGATTACTGCTCCACTTCCCACTAATATGAATCACCAGTTTATTCTAGTATGTCAGCTTCAGTAAGCCAGTCTTTCATGACACTTGACGTTCTTAAACTAAAAAAGATTTCCCCAACAGAGTCAGTAAGGAAGTCTGAAGGAAGACAGCAGATCTCAGGAGTCCTTATCCTTCCAAACTGTTCTCTTAAATGTATTAAAAGCAATCTAGGGAAGGAATTTGGCCAAAATTCTGTTCCCAAAGAAGCTGAAGTTTGGCAGTAGCTGTTATTGTTTGGCCCTTTTTCATGTTTCCTCATAACTGTCATCTTGGTTACTGGAATGTCTCACTCTCTCCTAAATAAGCAATCCTGAAGATCCATGGTATACCAAAAGAATGTATGTATAAGATAAAAAAAAAAAAAAAAAGTGGAAGTTACAAAGCATGACAGTGTATCTACAGCTAAATAGCATCTGGAAGGTCAGATCACTGGTACATTCAGAGAAATAAGGCATTTCTTTCCTAATCATGTTTTGAGTTCCTACCTCTCTAGCACATCCTCCACAATCCTGAAATATTTGACCTACACTCTAAAGAGAAATTTCACCTTGCTAAGTAAAATCACTGGGCAAGCAACTTTTATTGTGTACTAAATCTCTGAGGTATCAGTTTCCAATCTAACATACTGAATAATCTTTGCTTGTTCTTCATCTCCTTATAAAACAAACAATCAGGGGATACAAAGTTGTTTGTCTTATTTAGAAAACTTATTTTTATTTAAAAAAGGCCAAACAATAAAAACAAACTAACAAAGCTCCTATCCCAATAATTTTCCTTTCCTCTTCCTTCCTTAAACACAGAGAGAAACTGCTTGGAGATAGACAAGGAACCTCACAGAGGAAGTTCTGGGGAGGGAAGGGGTGATTTCAAAACTGTAATAAACCAGTAAAGATCAGGGATCCCTCCTAAGACAGGCACACGTTTAAAGGACATCACATTTATGGGAGAAGCCCTGTTTCCTACTGATTGTGGACAGGACCCCGGGAGAGCAGTTCATCCCATGCAGCTGAGACACCTCACTCAGGGTGGGATGAATAGCAAGAGACATACCTGTCTCTCCTCAGCTGCCACAGGGGGTGCAGAGACACTTTACTGTTTTATTTTTAGACACCAAGAATTGGGTGAGATGAAGCCCATTTTTAAACACTCTATTTCTGCAAATACCATATTAAAAAAAAAAAAAAAAAAAAAAAAAAAAGAAAAAATATCCTTAAATATTTGCATATTTACAGGAGTTTATGGCAATAATGGCAACATTCTCTATGCAGAGTATTAGCAAAAATCAGTTTTCACTTGTATTTGTACCTTGGTATTTGGCATGGACTTTTTTTGGCTAGCACTATTTGCATTAACAGGAGTTTATGGCAATAATGGCATCCTCTATGCAGAGTATTAGCAAAAATCAGTTTTCACTTGTATTTGTACCTTGGTATTTGGCATGGACTTTTTTTGGCTAGCACCTGTAGATACAGATGAACCTTGACTGTTAATTGCCCAATTAATACAGCTCAGGCTGACTCTGCTTTCACACCAAAACCTATTTAACAGTTCCTGACAGAATTCTATGTATGAGCAGAAAACATCTTTCAGTTTTATCCAATGTAACAACTATTTCTATGGGAAAGGATTTAGAAGAGAACACTGACAATTAAAATTATTCAGTAATGTCACCAAGACAAAAGCTGAAATCGAAACACCACTGACAAGTGAACAGCAACACATACAGATATCAATGATAAGCCCAAGACATCATCCCTTCCCTTCAAACAGCATTTTGAATATTAAGGATTTGAGAATTCTAGCTGCAGGATAGCCCACTGAACAAACTTTCTGTGCACAGAATGTATTATACTACAACAGTGGTGGTTCAGCTTGGAGCAAGGCAGAACTTCCTTCAGTTCATTCCTGAGCCCTGAAGGACATCCAAAGCTGAAGCACCAGATTCACAAGGCAATCTTGGCACAAGTCACAAAGAGAGAGGACAATGATGAGAAGAAGAGGATGACGCACTGTTGTCACCCGACCTTATGACCTACAGCCACACTGTGTAGGTAAGATATCAAAGACTGAA